TTTTCAAAAACACTCTTTTAAACTATGTTAATTTCATCAACCTAGCCCCCCCCCCCCCCCCCCCCCCACTCAGCCATCGATCACTGCTGCCGACACGGAACATGGGACTTCTTCCTCAAACAGATGGCTATCTGCCATACTTTCTGATTTACGCAAGTTGCTATTTTCCATTTATGGCATAGTATTGCTAATATGTTACAGCAAGGAGTCGCAGCATTGATCCACTCAGCTGTTTGCTACCTCAAGGATCCCGATGTTTCCATGGTGTCGTTCTCAGGCGAATCGCGGCCGCCTCCTACAAAGTTGCAAGCGCATATATATGCCGTCAAGAACGTGTACACGGGCTTGATTAGACTGTACGCGGCCTATCACATCAGCAACCCTCAGCTCTACGATCTTGCAGCCTTCACATCCGTCGGTGTTCTTTTCCTTTATCTCGCAGAGTTTGGCATCTGGAAGACTGTAAGGGTTAGAGAGCTCATGTTTCCCTTGATCACTTCCGTGACGAATTTGGTCTGGATGCTATCGGCAAGAGAATTCTATATCGGTTAATGCGCTTCGGTTTGAAAACATGGTCCTGAGGCGAGAGTCTTCTGTGCTCTTGAAGATTCGGCATTCAGAGAGAATGTATGTAATACGTGGCAACAAAACATAAACACACAATTTGAATATCTGGGATACGCTGCTTTAGGCATCGGTCTCGTAATGTTCAGGTTTATGAGTTTACCACCAGACAAGCATTGCTTCGCGATCTTCTAGTATAGTACGTCAATTTATGATCGCATAGAGCAGAAAGAACTTGATGTGAAGTCTCTGGGCTCTTCTATGCGGACTTGTAACAACCCAAGACTTAGCTTCCAATTTCACATAATTTGAATAGGTCCATCAAGCTTTAAATTCAACTATCTCCACTGTCTTGTACACAAACGTCTTTTAAGAACAAGGGAGAAAGAAACTCTGAAAAGAATTCTTGAACGAGCAACCTAGTTTGGGATCATTCTCTTCCCGGTAATAGCCTAAAGTACTCCTTCTATCTACTAAAAGTCCCCAAACTGACGGGATATAACTTCAGCGATGCAGACCACTGAATACAACTGGAACCAAACGGAGTGACGGGGTGTGTCCCGTCGTCATTTTCATCTTGATACACGTGTATTTGCGTTTGTTGAATATGATTCATTCAGTAACATCACCATACGCCATGTGTCTCTAGTACTCGCCTTATCCAAACGGGGAGAATGACTTTGTGTTCGTCAGATTCGCGGTGAGCCACGGAAATTGTAACACAGACGTACTATATGGCGGTAGGTTCTGAAGGGCAGGATGCATGATACAAATCGCGGTGTAGTTCTGGTTCAGCCCGTGAAAATCTTGGCGCTCTGCAAGAACCCTTCCCCACTTCAGCTCAGGGACGGACATACACTACTCCACGGCTAGATGTTATGAATTAAACTACATATGGCAGTAACCCTTGACCTCTACGCCCCATTGCCACCATGGACATGGGGCTCGTCCACCAGCGAGTCCCGTTCTCGACGGTGGAGGGCCTTCTCGTTCCGAACTACTCTGAACTCGACAGGCAAACGACCAACAAAACCCCCTTCGGTCCCAACTAAGAATGTGTCAGCGCGGAAAAGATTGAGTAAAAGGCTCGACATACAAGTCAATATGGATGCAAGCTCAACCAACACTGGAATCCATGGGGTGAGGGCAAGTGACTGTCCCAAGCTCCAAGTATCTTCAGTTTTCCAGTGAGCGCGGCTGAAGTAAATCACGAGTATGATCCAAGCACCCCACATGCAAATGAAGTTGGCGCCGGCAAACAGAATCATGGCCCCCTTGGCGACCATGTTTAGCCATTTAGCCTGCCACATCTTGCGGTTGTTACATCTGTAGAAGCAAAGAACCACGCTGAGGCAGAGGCCAAAGAGAGGTGGCATCCAAACCATGGCAGCCATGGTGAACATCGCAGCTGATACTGCAGCTTCCGGAGGATGGTTCTGAGGACACAGATTGATTACGCGCTCGTTGTAGTAGTAATCTTCCTGGGCGTTGTTCGTGCAGAGGACCCAAGCCGCGGTATGGATAATGAAGAGACCGATGAGAACAGCACCTTTGAGCCAACTGCGGCGCACAGAGTTGAGAATGAGCGGAAGCATCGTTGCCAAGGGGTAGAAGGCAAAGGCGGAGACGATGAGCTGTAGGGACGAGTTGTACCGGTACGTGGCTGGAGACACCTGGTTGTAGATGACTGTGGCCTGTATTCCGAGGGAGAGAAAAGCAGCCGCGGTGAAGAGGTCGTACGTTGTGCCTCGGAGGGCCTCGTTGACGCGACCCAAGAAGCCTGGTCTCACTGACGGCTCCTCTGACAGACTGTTGTCATTCTTGCGGCGCTTGAGGAAGTTCAGAATAGCGAATATGCAGTATACCGTCAGAAGAACAGACTCGAGGCCATATGATGCGAGAAGCTGGTATGTCTTAGCACAGAATGCGAATGAGGTGACTAGAAAATGCTCACGCCGAATCCCGCGAGGCCACCGTCAACCTCGGAGCCGAACCTCTGACAAAGTTCGGGCCGACAAGACGAAAAGTCGCGTACTTGAGAGGCCAAAGTGCTCCTATTAGACCGCACCCATTCATGCCAATCGATGATCTGCCCATTTGTTGGTTGAGTCGAGTTCACTTCTGGTACAACGGCACGCCAGAAGGTTGATACTGCGGGAAATGGTGGCTCGTAATCGTTGGTCACAACCCAAGCTGCGTAGTCGCCAAACGCAGAGCAGTTCTGGGCAACATCGAGCTCATTCCAAGCTGGCCCTCCCCACGGAAAGCTGGCCATGGCTATTGTTAGACTCCCCTGCCGTGATTGTAGGTCGCCCTCTCTGGCAAAGTCAAAAAGCCTCTCGCGATAGCAACGGCGTTGGTGAAATGATTGATGATATTTTGTTCAAAGAGAAATGAACACCCAGAATGGGCACCATGTCGATCTGGGCGCATGCCCCTGAAAGCCAGAAGGATTCGGTCAATTTTACGTGCCGCACTAGGGTCGTAATCCGTCAGACGGGAGGTGGGAGAAAGCGCCCGGAATGCTGCAGCCTGGACTACCGAGATGGCAATGTCTCTTAGATCATTCGTTGATTGGCTAATAACTCGCGTTTAAAGTATTCTATTCCCGATATGCTTAGCGTTCACTCACACATCGTCAGATACTTCACGCCCAAGCTTTGGGGACTCAAGAGAATCAACTGGAGAGGGAGAATTGTGATTGAAAGTTTGGAATCCTGATCGCGTTGAAGCCCTTTGGCAGCGGACAAGCGATCTTGTTCATATTGAATTTGATTCTTACTCTAGTGTGAAGCTCTTCTGTACGATCATACAGTCGTTGTTTCCTTTCGTAGATGCGGGAATGCACACCATGGGCAAGGAAGCCGCCGCTTGATATTGGCTCAATGAAGTGATATTTCAGTGCGCGAAACGGAAGTCAAGTCTTTGTTGACCCTCGTCTGTAGTGGTTAGGGTGTACTCCTCCTGTTGTTGCTTGGTCATGGCATTCCATCGCCTGTCGCGGACCTTATTGCGCCAAATGTAGAACGCCTTTACGAAGTAAAAGAGTACAATGTTGAAGCAGCAGATTCCAAGAAGAACCTTATTTCCACGGCGGTAAAGAGGCTGGTCGTCGTCTCGGTAGATGTTTGAGGCTGCAATATTGCCTGCCTGCACGAACATGTTGTACAGTGCCGCACTGACTGCTCTCGTCCTCACGGCGTTGCTGTTCTTCGCGTTCCATCCGACGAGAATTGCGTGGCAGTACGGGTAACTCAGCAGTCCCGTCAGCAAGGCGTACCTGATCCAGGTGCTCGAGTCTGCCGGCAACGCCACAAGTGCGACGAGCCAGGGGAAGATCCAGATATTGGAAATTGAAGAAATGATGGCTCTCTCCTTGAGTTTCCCGGACACCCAAGAAATGATGAGTAGATTGACGGCGAACAGGAATTGCGACGGAATTGCGAGAAGATTGGCCTGGAATACGGAGAAGCCCAGCCTGCGGAGAATGTACGAGAGGTAGTTACTCGGTGGAGACGGCGGGATGTATGTAGTCAAGCCGATGAGATACAGCGGCCACTGTTCCCAGTCTTTGACGACCTTCAGAAGCTGGGACGGACCGACGGCTTCTCGGTTATGCATGTCACCCTTGCTCGGGTCGTCCCGAAGCAAGCGGTTGACCATGATGTACTCCTCGTGGTCGGTGAACCATCCGTTCTTACCCCGGAACCAGTTCTTAGTCTGGCAGGGACCGGGGGGCATCAGGCCCCACGAAAAGATGCCTATGATGAGGGTCACGATTCCCTCCAAAAGAAAGCTAATGCCAGTCAGTATCCAGAGTACGATCTTTGTATTTCTTGCATGACTTACAGCCATCTCCAACCAGCCCATCCTCCAACTCCTCGCATCTGGAGAACACCAGCGGCAATCAGAGAGCCCACAATGTTTACAGTACTCAGAGCCGTCCAGAACCAGGCGAGTCTCAGCGGCAGCTCATTGGACTTGTAGTAGTAAGTGAGCCATAGCACAATGTCAGGGATAAAACCACCCATCAATAAACCTATGAGATTGTTAGTATACTTCCAGGAGATCATCTCTTCAAGACTCTTACCCAGCAGGGCTTTGATAGCGTAGAAGCCAGCGCGGTTCGACAAAAACGCCTGAGATCCAGCAGTTATGGACCACCCAACCATGATAAATGGAATCCACCTGTCGGCTCCGAGCTTTTTGCTGATGAGTCCGCTGGGCAACTCCGCGGAGAGGAACGTCAAGAGGAAGATCTACACCCGAGTGTGAGCCTATCAATGACACATATTGCCGACGTATAGTCTGAGTTTTACTGACTGTTTGGCCATAGTTGTAATCGTTCGTGTTCATTCCAAGTTCGGGAAGCTGTATTCGGATGACGAGTCAGTCAATGGTGGCCTTCTACATTTCTTGTTGCCTTCGGTGGACTCACCATGTTATCCGAAATAGCTCGATTGATGTTTCGTCGATGAAGGTCAAGAGCGCAGAACATAATCCACGCCCATACCATGATTCGCTTGTCGATCTAAGCACACCCAGCAGAGTTAGCTCCCGCTTGACACCACACCCGCACACTTCTCCAATGTGGACGCCAGGCGAACCTTTCTGACCAACTTCTTTTCTTCCTCGGCCGACCATTGGTAGGAGGGATCGAATCGATGTCGGTTCTCATATTCGGCTTTCTCATACACCTTGCGCCAGTAGTCGGCGATGCTGGGGTCGGTGAATATGTGGTCGTCTGTCGAGCCTAACGTGGCGGCGGATGCTTCTCTCAACGAAGAAACCGAGGTCTCTGTTGCTTGAGATTGCGAGGTGCTCACGTCCTTGGTCTCTGCGGACTCCTGATCCTGGAGAGGACCTCCAGAGTCTTTTGACGCCATGTTGAACGACTGGCGAAGTTGAACAATGGAACACAAGTTCGTGAGCCTTGCCAGGTATTATGAAAGGCTCAACATCAACATCACAACCTCAAGATACCGACAGCCTGGGTTTGTTCCGCGGAGATGCAAGAACATTTATACATTCCCCCCATGGTCCCGGCAATCTGGATGTTGGTGTCCACGCGGAATTCATCCCAACCCTCCGTCCCGATATCGAATGACAGGGGTGTGAAGAAAAATCAAAAGTCTGGCAGTGTCGCGATGATCCAAGACGATCGCATCATAAGAGAATTGGGCCTTTCGGCGAATGGACTGTGTTATCTATGGTGCAATCGGTTGACAGAATTGCGCTGTGCGTCAATGATCCAACGAGTCGTGACAGGACCGTGGGGGGTGTGATCCGGGGTGGTCCCCGGCTCGCATTTTGATGTTGGGAGGACTTGGGCCAGGCGGCCCAGCCAGCGACTTTCGCCGCAGAAACGGAACAACCACGGGCCAAGGAAGAAGCTAACCAAACTTCTATCAAACGGGAGGAATCCCGTCTGGATACGTGGGGTTCGCTTGCTAGACGGAGCATTTACCGGCCTGGAGGCTGATTGCTGTCTGTCTTGGTGAGATGACGACTAGATTACCACCCGCGGATAGTTCGTCTAGGAACGAGGATGATCCATCCATACGGGGTTCTTGGCCCGTTGTGCATGTCTTGGGCGGCATTTAAAGCCACGCGTATTGTTAACGAAAATGGGTTGGGCGCGGCATTGCGTGATCTAAGCCATGGGATTGCGACAGACGATTTCGAGGCGATGTTGAGGAATTGACCAATCAAATCAATGACAAAGCACATCCATCTCGAGTCCGTCAGCGGACTTATCAAAGTCCAGCCCGTGTGCATTATCTTTGGAAATCCAGGTCTATCTCATATCGTATTCTCGATCTTTGTTTCATGAAAGAATAGACAACTCGAATCTAACTTGGGAATAGCGTCAAGAAAAGTCTTGGACGCAGTTGCACAATTTTTAGTTGACAGCTTCCCTGGTAATCAGAATGCATATGTCTGTCGCATTGCGATGTGTGGTCATACTTGGCAGTCTCAACGCACACGAGTTCTTTCGGAAATAATTATCAGTCCTCAAGAACATGATCCAAAAGCTGCACCTCGAGATCCAGGCACAGAGTTCAAACGAAACTTATCAGTAATTTTCGTTCATGGCTTTATTGTCGTTCATCATAATTCCAACTACAGATATAGCATCTAGACTATCCTCCATCGGCTCATCGCCGTTCTCGGCCGAGATGGCCAAAATTTGACCTCATCTGGTCGCCCGTTGTGTACACCTCAACTCCTGATCATGAAAATCCACTCTACACTAACCCTTGAACGGCGTCTCGTATGGTCGCTCAGCCTGAGGAGTGATTCTGGCAAGGTGCCTCCTGGAACCGTTGTTCCAGTCAATGAGAGCCGAGTGTTGAGTGACTCTATTATCCCAGACCACGACGGTTCCCTCCTCCCACTTGACACGGGCATGGAAGTCAGCACCCCACGCGATGTGCTCGTAGAGGAACTTGAGAAGTGCGTCTGACTCCTCCTTCTTGAGGCCAACGATCTCACGGGTGACTGGAGCTTGTTAGTTTCTGTCAACTTTCGGAGCTTGTCTGATCATCCACTTACATTGAGGGTTGATGAACAAAGCCTTCTCGCCAGTGACGGGGTGTGTACGGACGATAGGGTGGGTGTTGGCAACAGGCTCGCGGCGCTTGATGCTACCCTTCTTCACAGAAGCAGCAACCTGCTCAATGCCGGAGTGGACAGCTTGAAGGCCGTGAAGTCTTTCCTGGAATAGCGGGCTCAGTCTGTTGTAAGCTTCTGCTGCATTGCAGAAAAGGGTATCGCCTCCGGTCTCGGGCTTGTCGAGGATGTATAGGAAAGTAGTGCCAGGGGGCTGTGCCTCGTAGGAGACATCGGAGTGCCAAGCAATGGAGCTGGTTCTGGTGGCAAAGAACTTCTCGGCCGAACGGTCGCCTGCGGCACGGTGGACGAGGTGGACCTCTGGGAAACCCTCTGGGGATCCCGAGGTGGGATGAATGTGGTGGCGGCCGAAGTAACCACCGAACTCGAGAGCCTTCTCGATGGAAAGGTCGGCGAAGTCCTGAGCGCGGAAAGCCACGACCTTACGCTCGGCGACGAAGCGAGCCAGCTCGTCCCTGCCGGCATCGCTGAGCTTGCTAAGCTGAACGCCCCTGACCTCAGCGCCGATACTGGGCGTCAGATCGGTAACTTGGGCTTGGCCCTTGGGAAGAAGGTTAGGGAAGCTAGGGTCTGCGTCCCTTCCGTGCTCGACATGCTGGAAAGGCTGCAGAGGAGGGTATTGTTGCTCGGGGTTCCACGTTGGGAGGTAGTGAGGGTACTGTATCAAAAGTCAGTTATCGACACGAATAGTTGTACTTTACAGATACTTGGAAGTCGAACCTTCGCGCCCTCGTGACCATCTCCTCCCTTGGCCTCGGCCTCCTTGTCATACACAACAGGCGACAGCTCCTTGTAGTCGCCGGAGCCGTCAGCGTACAGACGGAGGTTGTTTACCGGCAAGTTGGCCGGGTCGGTCACGGTGGCCGTTGAAGTTGCTGAGGGTGCCATCTTCTTATGATTTGCTGGTTCGTTTTCTTAGGGACAGGCTTAAGGGTTCAGAGATTCGCTCTTTGGGCATGTCAGAGTTGCCTGTTGGGCTTATATAGATTACCCCTCCAAAAGGCGATCATGTCGGAGCTTACCCGACGAGGGGCATTCAACCAGAATGATTGCATGCTGACAGGGATTCGATTGCGTCGTTCTCCAACTTCACACAAAACAAACTGAGGCCGACACGGTTCCGATCTTTGGACGCCGTGCTTCCAGGCGATTGGCTTCTGAGAAGCAAATCAGACGGAGACATGGAGGTGTCGGAGACTGTGGATGGAGGGGAAATGACGCCATCATATTGGAGTGCAGCTTGAGTGGTGGCACTGAGCAGCGTCGAAAATCGTTCTGATTAGAAATAGGCTGTGCGATGTTGTTATCTTGGGGGTCAAGCACGCAATTCTTTGATGCGACTCCGTTGGTGTTGGATGACCCCGCTATCTGCACAGCATCGTTTCGTCCCCGGGAAACTGTAACCGCTGGACTGATATAAAATCCGATCGTGTCTATACATGTCCAACCGGGCTCAGGTGTATCAAAGCCGAATTGACTTTGGCCGTGAAAGCTCAGATCAGCCAGTCCGGAGCTTGGTCTAAGTGATGTTAAGCACCGATGAATACCCGAAGCCTAGTACCGTCGCGGGAAACCCGACCTACCGTGTCGAGCCGAAGTGTGGCTCGCCGGTGCAGATCTGGGAGTCGGGTCGGTAGTCGGACCCCTACCCCAAACGGAGCGTCGCCAATGAGTCGTAGCACTCTTCCGGTTCCGGGGCGGGAAACTTGTCGGAGCCTCTTTCGGAGAAGGACCGGCACCGCCGGCAACGAAGAGACGAATCAGAACGACAAGTGCATTTGCCATTACTTCTTCGTGTCAAAAGACCCTTGTCATTATGTCGTCCTATCCCGTGACGAATCGAATCGTCTCGATGCTCTGAAGCCAAGACTAAGTCGACTCATTGTTCGTCAGTGATGTTAGAGCATCGCCGGATTTTTATTTTACGTGTAACTTTCAGAAACGCCATGCAGATTCTTCCGCCAGTTCTGCTATGTCATACCAGATTGAAGCCCGACTGGGACTAGGCCTTTTAAGTCACTCACTGGTTTTCAACTTGGACCACCCGGCCGGGAGAGCTGTCCAACTCGTCGGCAATCCTTCGGACCTTCGGCCTGAGAGTTGTGACTAACCAAAAAGAAGCAAATAAACAAAAGGCGAGCCAATCACATATGCGAAATGTTCCTCCATAGTTGGATGAATTATTCGTCCTGCCGATGTAGAAAGAATGCTAGTAATGATGAGCGGTAGTCGACTTGGACAGCATATGACGAAGAAAAGTCCACAGAACTGAAAGCGTGGTTCAATATGCCGTCCAATACAAGTCTATCACGTTCGGTATATCAAGCCTTTAGTTTTGACGCTGATGAAACGACGATACTCCAACGCAGAGCTGATAGTGCCTGCTGACCTAGTGAAACATCTCGTCGCTAAAAGAACTAGAAGCACTGGATCGACACCCCAGCCTCGCCCGCTCTCACACCAGTTCACAACTCGTGAGCTCATGTAAGCAGTCACACTTTGAGCAACTTAGAGACTGCGGTGTCACCACATGGTTTTGAGAAGCTTCTTGAAGCAGAGAAGTCTTGGGCTTTGCCTCCGATTCATCAGCCGAGATCCAAGATAAGCGAAGATGAGAGATGAACGGAAAAATACTCAAGCAAATTCAGTTTGATCACTCCTTCAGCATGATATCAATCAACGACCGAGTCCTTCTGGAGCGGAAAAGAGGCTTGCGTCAATGAATAGAATCCAAATATTTTTGACTGGCTGTTATATGAGTTCAATTTCAGCATCGAGAGCGTTCAGCAGTGCCAATTTTGAGGCGACAATTAGGCCGGCACCGGTCTTGTTGGGAAGCTCCCTGGCCAATCAAATGAGTTTGCCAGCCTAGATGCTCAGCTGTCTTGACATGCGTCTCAAGGGCGGCGTTTCATGCAGTCAGACGGCGCAGCCCTTCGTAAGAACACGTCTTAAACTCAGCCCAGAGCCTTCCCAGGGCCCCAAATTTTCAATCCTGGAGACACTGAGAAGACATGACACATGCTTCATCTCCAACTTGATCGTCCAATGAAGCTCATCAACGTCGCAACACTACGAATCGAATCGTTCTACGATGAGGCCATTCCCTAATACGCGATCTTATCGCACACTTGGGAGAGGGAAGAAGTCAGCTACCAAGACTTTCAGAACATTACGACAGCTCGAACCATGCTGGGATTCGCCAAGATAGAGGAAACTTGCTGCCGCGCTCGGCGAGATGGACTCCAGTACGCCTGGGTCGATACCTGCTGTATAGACAAGACTAGCAGCGCTGAACTTTCGGAGTCCATCAATTCCATGTTCGAGTACTATCAATGCTCGGAAATTTGTTACGTCCTACTTTCCGACATGCCTGCTTCAGGCTCTGTTGCGCTCCATCTCCCACAGTGTAGATGGTTCACTAGGGGATGGACGTTGCAAGAGCTTTTGGCGCCAGACACCATGCAATTTTACGATCAGGATTGGCAATGTATTGGAACGAAAACATCACTATCAGACAGGCTGTGTCAAATCACTGGGATTCCCGGGGACGTACTTCTTGATTCATCCAGAATCAGGGAGTATCCTGTTGCAGTACGAATGGCGTGGGCGGCAAAAAGAAGGACCACACGAGTAGAAGACACTGCCTACTCGCTACTCGGAATCTTCGACATCAATATGCCAATGCTCTATGGAGAAAGAAGCAAAGCCTTCCATCGGTTACAAGAGGAGATATGTCAGAAGGATTGCGATACATCCATTCTCTGCTGGGGTTCTCTGAATTCCAAGTCTTCAGACGTTCCGAGGCTGTTTGCTACAAGCCCTGCAGAATTCTTTGGCCACGAGGAATCCGGAAAGCAGGGCACATTGTCCATCATCGGTACCGGTATTGAAATGACGAGCAGAGGTCCGCGCATGATAAGAGCCAATACCGCGCCCAAGTGTCTTCAAATTGGTCGCCGCTTTTATAGGGCGAGCCTAGCCTCATGCTATAGTGAGCGGGGTGAGCAGGGTGGGCAGGGTAAGCCAGGCATCTTTGCAGAAAACTGGGTTATGGAATAGGGCCACTGTTATCGACATCTATATGACTGCGACAAGCGTGAGTGAAAAGAAGTGAATTAGGCACCGTATTGCACTAGCGAATAAGAACGGAAATGTATAGGCATGCGTTCTGGCCAATAACGTTCTAGGCGCCACAGTCGTCGTCGTACGACGCTAACACTGTCTTCAAGGCACAGGGCCTAAAGTGAATGCACTACATATATTCCAACCTCTGTCCAAAACCCAGACCAGACCATGATGGACGCGTCCATCTTCGCTCAGATGATCTCGTGAGTATATTCTGAAGATTGGCAGCCAGATTTAGTCTTTGGCGTCTCGAATGGGAACCAACAGATGACTATCTAACTCGCCACCGTAGTGAAGCAGGTGCATGCCGCGGTTACGGCTCAGCGGCGTCTTGACCCGTTGCGTATTGACGAATGATGGGTTTGACTCGATGTCTCCGCCAAGCTGCATCATAGAAACATTTTGACCAGGCTGAAACGTGCCTCCATGAAGCGGGATCGGTATAATTGCTGTGCCAAAGCCGAGATCGCTCTCTGCTGGTGCGATGGCCACAGGCGCAACTGTGAGGCTGAGTAGCTCCCCAGCATGAAACCGCAGCGCAGTAGGCGTGAGGGGGATGTCAACCTGCACCATCTCCTCCGGAGCAAGGAGCAATTCGCTCTCATGTAACAAGACAGGCTGGTAGTCGGTCGACCTCACCCGGTCAAGCTCTCGATGAGAAACGCGAAGATTGCCGATGGGACCGATGGTGCTGGTGCTTTCGCCTCCAACATTGTTGGGAAACGAAGTACCGTTCCTGGACAACTTCTGCACGGTGATGGTCAAATCCATATCATCAGCGTCGGGAGAAGAAACCCAGAGACGAAGCTTGCCATGACCGATTAACTCGAAGGAACGGTCCACTCGGTAAGTAAAGGTGACCCCTCCGGCCGCAGTACCGTTGTAAGTGGTGTAGGCTGCAACCGGCGACCCGTCGTTTCCAAGGCTATTGTTTTCTTGCAGACGAAGTTTGAGTGGACGCAGTCCAGGTACAGGCCAATCAGGCGCCTCAAGGCTCAGGATGTCCTCAGCTCCTGGGTCGAGGACGGCGTAGCGAACACGAGGCGTCGAAGTCCAGTTGTTATCAATGCCTTTGAGGTAGTAGTCGAAGAATTTGTGCAGATCGGAAACATTATCCTTGTCGTAGTAGTCAGGCCATTCCGAGGTGTTGTGAACCCTCAGCCACTTGTGCGGTGAAGAGATGCGTCCAAAGCCTTCGAACGAGCCACTAGTGTGTAGAGCATTGGTATAGCTCGCAACAACGTACGCTGGCACTGAAATATTTTCCAGTGTCGCAATTTTGTCTTGCCAGTAGGGAGAGAGAAGCGGCTCCGACAGTATCATCCGAGACACGTCCTCGGCATAGTTCTTGCCGGCGAAGGTGGTGAGAATGCTCTCCTGAAATCCGGGGGCCGGTATGCCTCCAGAGACCGCAACATCGCGATACAGATCTGTCAGACCCTCCCAAGGAGCGATAGCGGCTAAGTGTGGCGGGTTCTCAGCTGCGATAAACCATTGTGAAACGGCCAACCAAGAGTTTCCAGAGAGGGCCACCTTCCCAGAGCTCCAAGCCTGTGAGGAGGCCCACTCGATGAAGTCGTAACCGTCTTCGCCCAGTTGCCGGCCCCAGTAGGTGATGTTTCCGTCAGAAGAATAGGCGCCCCGAGTATCGGGATTCAGTACAGCGTAACCTTGGCAAACCCAATATCCGGGATCGGGACCTTCGAATTTCTGAAGTTCGGACAATGCGGAGAGCTTTACTTGAGAACGACCAGGAAGGTCGTCGAGCCATTGTCCGCCGATTTCCTTCCCATAGGGACTCCATGCAACCAATGCGGGGACAGAGTCGTTGGTAGCAGGGCGGAAGACATCGGTGAAAATAGTGATACCGTCGCGGAGCGTGACAGGGACGTCGCGCTCGAAGAGAATGTCACACTGAAGAGCAGATGCCCCCTCGCGACGGATACTGCCGGCCTCCAGTGTCAGGTTCTGTTGTTGAAAGCCCGGATAGCGAGCTCGCTTGGCGTCAAGTGGTAGAGGGCCACGCAGGGTGACGGGGTAGGAGTCGTTGCCGTATATGCGCAGGACACCTTGCACGATGCCATCTCCTGTCGTATCCTGAGAGACAGAGACTCCCAAAAAAGCGGCAACGCAGAGGTAGGCCGCGAATTGTAACTCCATGACGAGTCAAACTTGGGGTCCGTGGCCAGATGCGATAGGAGTGTGTGAAGCTTCGATGAGTATCTTCCCTGGCTCAGGCTGGTCCTCGAGATTGACTATAAATATTTTTGAGATCCATGCAATCGCATTTCATCGATCAAGATCAGGTTATTCGATGACGCAGATAGCCCTGGTTTTGCAAATTTCTTGCCCTTGGGCTGAGGGTGATAGGTTCCACCTTCGACCTACTGCTAGTGAACGGTGAACACTCGCACTTGGCCTTCCATGCTGAGGGGGCCATTCCTAAAATGGGCAGAACAAGTAAGACAGCGAGTGGACCGCCGACGACTTACAAAGATCAGTGGGAGGCGCGGTCTTTTCGAAGAGACCAACGATGCAAGTATGGCTGGCAAACGCCCGGGAGTAAATAAGTCGGAGGTCGGCAGCCATTCTCGCCGAACCTGCCGGTCCCGTCCTCGGGCCCCGCCAGGTGCGCGCGTTGAGCATGCCGCGCGCACTGCCGGGTCCGCCGATAATGGCCGATGGGGTTAGTGACAATCAATCACCGCCGTACCCAAGCCAATGGCGGGATCAGTGGGGTAAAGGGCAGAAAAACACACCTTGGTCCCGGGCGAGATATCTGAAGAGCCCGATGAGTAAGCGGCTAACGTGCTGTGATTGATTACGGAGAAGACGGGGGAAAGAGGAAAGAAAAGAAAAGCATACCGAGGTTTGAGCGGAAGAGGTGATTTGAACCCACTCTTGAGGGGCTGGCCACGTTCTGAAGCAATAGACTCTCCGAACGACATCAAGAGCCACCTCCAATCACAAGCTAATCACTACCTATCCTCTTGCCTTTTCACTCGTTCTCACTTTCAACTCGTCCTGATTCTCGCTAGAGCCCCACTGCGGATCGTGTTCTACACTACTTCCCTCGGTAGCATCCGCAATCCATTACCCTTGCTAGGATGGAGAAGTGTAACGATACGAGCAGATGTTCAAAACCAAACACCGGTTGCGACAAGAAAGACATTGACGCCTCATGAATGAGTGATTGATCCCCTGAGATAATGATCGAGTGAGTCCACAGGCCCCATAGGCTCGGGACACCCGCCAGAAGGGACGGTCGAGTGTTGATGTCTCAGCGGCAAATTGTTTTTCTCCGATTGTCCGGTGACCGATTCTATCGCCTTATGAACTGCGTCATTCCTGAATTGATGGTGAAGGTTCATGCCGATAATCTTTTTCGAAACGCGGCATTGCACCTATCCAACTCCAATCCAACAGTTCCCCCTCGACATTGATCTCCGCTGGCACCGCGTGTCGACTTCACTGCTCTTTGCATAAGCGATGCCACCACGAACATTGAAAGTCGGCGTCATTGGTCCCAAGGGCCAGGCCGGAAGCTGTGTGGTCGATGAGCTCTTGTCGCGAGGCCACTCCGTCGTTGGCATCTCGCGGAATCCTCCTGACCAGTGGCCCAGTCCCGGCAAGGGTATCTGGTCGTCAACGTCTGTGGATATCCACAAAGAGCATACGAAACTGATCAGCATTATTTCGTCCGGGTTCGACGCCATTGTCTGTGCCTACGGACCGAGCCTGAAAGTCATAACGAATGTGTACGCCGAGGCGATCGAGGGACATGGCAGGATCAAGACTGCTTTGTTGGCCTCGACACATGATGGCCCATTCATCATCATTGGTATGTATATTTTGGGGGTTAATTATAAGACTTAGAAGGATTGCTGACGAAAAGCCCAGGCGGAGCGGGTTCGATCCATGTATCCAATCGTCTTCAGCTCACAGATGAAGACGGTTTTGCTTTCAGCTGGTGGTAAGAAACCCCACCCTGGTTGTTGCCTGTGCCCTTTCACTCACTCATTTTTAGGTGGACCTGGCCTGATGAGCATTTGGACTACATGACAGCGCGCGGCTTCGACCACGGAAGCCTTTTCATCAGCCTATTGGCCATGTTGTTGAAATGGAGCAGAAGTCACATCCAACGACCGACGTGTAAGTTTTCCCTCAAGGACCTGCACATGATTATTCTCGACGAGATCTTGACAGATTTTTAATATATGTAGTCTACTCTTGGATCTTAAGCCCTTTTGTGTATGCGGCGCTCGCTTGGGTGAAGAGTGCTTTGACAAACCGACACAATCTGGGGTTGATCACGGGAAGCCGGATGGCGTTTACCATGTGGAACGGCGTCAAGGATAAATCCTGGTCTTTCTTGTCGCCGCCTGGACTCTTGCGTGACAAAGGTAAGGACTCTTGGGGTGCTTGATGAACTACATGCTGATCCACTTGTCTAGGAGTTCGCACGGGAGAGTACAAGGTGTTTGTGGACAGCCCTGAGGACCCTGCGGTTGAGGCTGCGAACGGCGGAATCTACAATGAGGACATGGCTGTTGCTGTCGTCGATGAAGTTGAGAATAATAAGTTGGCCTATCAGCATTGGAGTTGCACAGGTCCCATTGGACTGCGCGAATGGTAGTTTAGCAGCACAACGCTCTCCAATCAAACATCTCAACTACCACAGCCCAGAGACCTTGATATGTCAGGTCATTGCCAGGAAGCGTACAACACCGCTCATATTTCGTGCGTTAAATTGCCCGGTTTCATGCCTAGTTTTTCAATAACTCAATGGTTCAGAAATCATCTGCGGTCGCCTTCGTACCATTAAATAGTGTCCATTCATCGCATTAGTAATAGCCAAAGGCATCATTGCACTACACTACTGGAATTCAGTTTAGCCTGTTTCTCTGATCGAAATGAACGACGAGTCTGCTCTCTCCTTATTACGATGATACCATTTGTGAATCACGCTATACTTGACGTCCAGACTTCAAGCGGCCGTCTCAAGAGGAGATAGCGCGTCCAGGCCAGATAAATAGCCGTTGGTAATCGGTTATAGTGGTTGTCAGTCATAATCCTCTAGCATTTACCGGGGTTCTTATCAACATACGTTTGCGTTGGGCGATCTCTCAGTAGATATTGTGGTGCTGAAGTCCGGTATCTTTGTTTTAACGGGTTGCGGTTTAGACTTTAGTGCTCCCCTACAGATTTGTGTCTGGCCACGCCTGTATCTGAATTTGAGTCTAGTGGATGAGAGAGAGAGAGACAGAAATAGAAGGAGAAAAAAAAAGGCTGAATGGTCTGCCGAGGCAGAACCGCCAATTCTCCAGAAGCACTTGCACACCGGTTGGCATCTGAGGCGAAGGGGTAAGCCACCGCTGATTCAAGAGCCTCGTTAATTAGATGGTACTTAAATATTTCTGATGTCACAAATAAATATCGTCTTCTTGAAAGTGGGCTGAAGACTCAATCTGTCATTGGAGTCTCGGAAAGAAAGAATCGCCAACGGCCCAAATTCTCCTTATGGAGATCTAAGCCACTCCATCGCTCAGGCGCAGCCGGATTTAACTTCCCGCGAGCGGCAGGTATCGCTGCAAACATGTTTCGGGTTTTTAGTTGCATTTTACTATTTCCCTTATTACTTATCCATCTATCCATCTAGCCATCCACCCATCCTCTGACCCATCCGTAGGCTTCTAGCCTCAGGTCGGGGCGAGCATGCACCCTTGGTGCCCTTTACATAGTTATCCGGCCTCCGATTAATCCAAACTCGGGCCTAAGACGTCCAGCCCAGGTCTTTGAAGCGCGCTACCTAGGAAACCATAGAAGACGAGCTTGACACGGACTTGAGTGAGAGACGGACGTGTTGAGACCAACATCTTTTGTATTGTCACTACACGAGACGCCATTCCATATACATCCAAGTCACCGGCCCCTTTGGCCCAACCTTGAAGTCCACCCTTGAAGTCCAACCTTGTAATCCAACTTTGAAGTACCTTGAAGTCCGACGTTGAACTACAAGCCAGCCATCCCATCAGTGTAACCATGTCCCTTTATGACCTCCGAGGTGGACGCGCCGGAAGAACAACGGAGCGTGATCAACATGTTGGAGCCTAAAAAACGTTTTTTCTTTACTTTTATCAGCACCCGCAAGAGGTCACGGGTCGGCCAAGCAGGTGCGCAGACAAGGAAAACCCCGAAGGAGAAAAAAAGCACCCGACTCCTTCTCCTCGGATTCACTGCTTAGAAGATTGATGACACTTGTCTCGACATCGCGACACGGAAAAAGCAGGCGCGTGCGCTTTGTAGATTTGCGGTTTCTTCACTGAAGACCCGCCGATTCACTAAAGGAGTCCATACCTCTGGACGTGAAAAGCTCATCAGTGATGAGACGTAGCTGTTGACGTTGTGATCCGGCTTCGGCTGGAACCTGACCGTGAATCTGCAGCCCAACATGTCGTCTGAGATGAGGTGCTGGCATGAAGATTGATGTTGAAAAGCTAGGTGGACTCGGAGTGGGAGGAGACGGATGTACTGCGAAGAAGATGTTGTGTACGAGAGCGAAGGAGATGGTATTGACGACCAGCTGCTTATAGGTTTGAAGAGAAATGGGAGACCGTAATGCGGACGTCAATAGAAGGACTGGAGGATGAGGGATGGGCATTGGAGATAGCTTTGGAAGATGGAGGATGAAGATAGAGGATGGAAGACGTAGAAAGATAAGTTGCTTCTCTCGTCGCCTTGGGTTCTGTCGTTCCTGGAGTGTTGCGCCTTTATTCTGACAGTGGGAAAAGAGCCTTGACCTCCTTTCGTTGCTGATGTTCGAACCTTTCGGGCTGTGGTACTTATTTATCAACTTGTATACAACTAGTTTCATGCTTGCTACAAGAGTTTATAAGAACTTCTTTCAAAGTGGCTCATCATGCCGATGTTGGCTTCTCATTTCTATCTCGATAGACTCTGTTATATAGTCTAAACCCTTTCCCAGACTACTTCGAATGTCTCGAAGCCCTTTCCTAGTAGATGGGTTGAAGCTGAATCACACTGCAGCCCCAAAGAGGCCTCTGACCCCAGCCAAAATAGCTCAAAATAATCTCTTCGCTACCGTACTCCCTTGGGCACGCCATGAAAGCACCGTTCCAGTCGGGGCCCATCTCCCCGGGATACCTGACACCCAGCTCGTTGAGGAAGAGCGTCGTGCCCTCGCCGCACCTGACCTCCACGGGCCTCCCGCTCGGCACCATCGCGGGGCCGCGCCAGGGCACGACCATGCCGGCGAAGGGCGACGAGTCGCCGCCGAGGTTGTCGACGCCGATGGTGTCGTTGTTGACGGCGCGGAAGATAGCGCCCTCGCCGGCGGGCACCATGATCACGTCGGCCGCGCACTCGGCCGTGGAGACGAGGCCGAGTTCTTGGCCTTGGACCTGAGGACCGTCCGGATGGTTGTCGTAGATCATGTTGGCCCAGAGACGGAAACCGGTGGCATCGTCGGCGCTTCTGGCGGCGGCGTTGGCCGCTTTCACTGCGACCGCGAGGAGGGTAGTCGCGAGGACAGCAACCTTCATGATGGCTTGCAGAGTTGCCCCGGTGTTATGATTGAGTATAAAAAGATTAAGGGTAAGGTTTTGATAGAAGCCTCTCCGTTCTGGCTGTTGCTGGGGTGCTTGGTTGGGTCTGACTGATGAGATTATTCAACTCGTTGGGTGGGACCTCAAGGGTATTATATATCAAACTTATGTCTCGTTAAATGTTAGATTACTTAGTATGGTAAAGCGAAGTCATTTGAGTCTCTTGATCATACCCCGCGTAGGCACATCCGCCTCACCTACGTAGCTACTGCATTGGTCGTACCACAGTGAGCTTACCGTCGTCGCCCGATGGACTTGAGAACTGCCTATAAACACCTTCAAATGCACGCTTTCTAGCCAGCAGCCTGCATTTGGGGGCGTGCCAAGACAGACTTGATAGGTCACCGTCAACCTCGTATCCTTTAAGCCATATTACGTGCATAAGCTGTAAGCTTAGACACACATAAGCGACACAAAAGAAACACCACCAAGCGACTTACATGGTGGATGTAAGGAAACGTTACGAAATAGAATTGTAAGACCAAAGGTAACTCACATAGGTACATGTTGACCCTCTAGAGCGACGCAGAAACGTTCTTGGCACTTTCGTCAACGAAGGACGAAGAACTTTTGGGTCGACGTGTGGTAGAATTGAGATTCTTCAACTGTTTCTGAATTTATGTAGGCTCCTATTGATGTCTTGAACCTTTCAGTAAGTCACCTTAAGCCAACTCGACCAGTCAGAAGTTAAGCCAATTCCTTCTCTCAGGTCTTGAGCAATTCTGCAGCCTTTTCCAGCATAGTCACCTGGCACAGCAAATAACTTCAACGAGCTGATACGGGAGGACACATCTACAATGGCGATGGCATATACAGTCAGGTCTGAATCAACTAGCAGCAAGCTAAAGAGTAAGACCATACATAGTTGAAGGACGATCGGTGGACTGGCGGCTCTGTCACGAGGCCGCCGCGGAAACCAAGTCGCGAGATGAACAGAGGATGGTTCTTTTTAGTTTCTCTAAACTGAATTATTGCCTGTCTCCTGATCGAGCTCAATGGGACTCCAAGCCCGGAACCGGCATGTCTTCAACCAACTTCTTCCCCTCAACAACCGGCATGTCAGCAGCAGTAACCACGATGAACAACCTCGCAGTCTTCGTATCGCTCTTGTTCCTCCAACCATGAAGCGTGCCGCGCTGCACAATCACGTCGCCGCGCTTCAACACCTGCGTCTCTCCGCCGTCCAAAAACAACTCCAGTTCACCCTCGACCAAGACTCCCGTGTCGATGCTCTCGGTGCGGTGGAACGGCACCTCGCTTCCCGGCAGGAAATCGACAAAACGGGTCACAAGTCCTCCGTGGTGTGCGATGCCGATGTTATTGGGGAGCCGCGACTTGTAGAAATCCAGCTCCTTGTCATCGGCGAGCGGCGCGGGCAGAGATGGGGTGGCGTAGGCGAGCCACAAGTCCGCGCCGGGACCGGGAGTCTTTTCAAGCTCTTGGGGGAGGCTTTTGTCGATCACTGCCTGGCCGGCTTCATTGTGGGTTGTCATAACGCGTCGGGGAGCAGGGAGGGGCTCATAAGATGGGGCAGTTCCGGAAGACATGTTGGCGATTGGGCGGATGGGGTGGAAGATGATGCGTTGAGTTGTCTGCGAAAAGAAGTCGATGCGACGTGCTTTGGCAAACACGCAGTTAAGCTTCCTTTAATAGTCGTCGATCAACGGGAATGAGATCTACAGGGGCTATTTTGTCAGGATTTTGTATATTCTTGTTGTGGCTGTTGGAGGAGTTCGATGGGCCTGGTCCCACGGACTGGAGATTACGTGGGTACACAAGCTGCAGAAATCGGCCGGGATGTCGTGCATCTAGGTCAATTCAGGAATAGTTTTGCAACGACGAGATTTCGAGCATGCGAATAACTACAGGGCATTGTTGTTTAGTCTGAGCTCGGCCCGAGAGCACGGGAAGGCGAACGGTGCGCTTGCATGATGCATCTGAAGCGTCGATGTTGGTCAGCTTACTGCAGGAACTCAACGTTGATATCCAGCAGTACAGCGGTCACCGTCGTAATCTATTGTTTGAGACATGTGAACCACGGGCTTGTAGACCAAGTATTCTTTCTAGAGCTTGGGCAACTCGGGGCTGCGTGACCACAGGAATGGTAGGGCTCTTGGCACAATCAGCTACACCAAGCGTTCATCGTTCGAGAGTCAATGCACAGCCTCAGGACCTCCGTGCGAACGATGGGCGAGCTTGGACAGATTTTATAGATAGTCCTCTACATGAGTTTATGGGATATTAAGCCATGGAAACGGCGCTATTGGCCCCAAAGAAGATGCTCAGTTATAGCGAAAATACTAGGTCAACAACTACGACCTTTTACTCGTATCGTGAGGCTTTCCAAGATCAAACTTCTCTTCGAAGTACCGTGTTTACTTTGGCAAGATGCATAGATGCCTGGTCAGTTCCTCTCAGCGGCCATCCATTCCATTGCTGACCAGCGAAAAGAACTTGATCATTGTGAGTTAAAGGATTTACATCAACTCTAATCCCCACACGTGGTCAACGTTATCAGATGATAAAACACTCGTGATGGTTGACCTTTGACTACTTGGTGTTAAGATACAGACATGAGTTCATGGTTGACTACAGAAGAAACAGCGATGGTTTGTCGCTGCTCCACGATCTTTTGCGCAACCGCAAACATGAGATTATAGATGAACTGGTCGACAAAATTGTTCTGGCACCAGTCCCATGCGACGGTGGTGACTTTCTTCAGAGTCCTCGCACCACTCAATATACTCGGGATCCTCTTCCGCATCCTCCTTCAAGAATTCCTCCGGAATGTAACCCAATCGGTAACTAGCTTGTGCGCAACCGTCTTTTGCAAACCATGCCTGGAATACTCTCTCATCATCCGTCATATTCGGCTCAGGCGTGCTTGTCACCTGCGTGTCCTCTTCGGCCACAAAGGTTGGGCTCTCGGATCGTTCAGAACTCGAAGACGGCGTTGCAGATTCCTCCAGGTTGTTCTCTCTCGGCCAAGGCCAGAGTCCGCCCAAGGGCATGCCTTCGTTAACGGTGTTCAAGTTGTAGCGCGAGTCGAATGCCCAGTACTGGTAAACTAGAAAGCCCTCGTTGTTCTAGGCAATCGCGCGGGTGGGCTTCATCTCGTTGAACAGAGGCTCAATCTGAAACTTGCCGAGGTCGATAAGGCTGCGAGCACAAACGACCAGGTGGGCGGTTCAAGCCTCCGTGCACTCGAGAAAGATGTATCGACGGGAGTGCTTCCAGTGCTGACTTCCTCTCTTCTCGGGGCAAATGTACGGCGTAATGCAACCGGTGTCTCTGACTTCGTCTGCAGGTGAGATGTGGAAGCCATCACGCAGTGTCCTGAGAGGGTTTGAGCTTGAGACGTAGAGTGTTGCCTGCCATGCGGAATTCTCCAGAGTCTCGGTCTTCGTAACGCAGGGCCACTCATACCAGACGAATCGGATATTGTGTGGCGGGACTTGCTTGGCGTTCTCCTTGGTAACCTGCATCTTTTCAAACCACCGAATGTTGTCGTAGTTGTCCATTGTGTAGGAGTTTCTATGCTGATGGAATTGCGAGGTTTTTGGAAGTTATTTTAGATATCGGAGGTTATCGTGGAGAAGAAGTTTTCTGGCGAGGTGGGTGCATCAACTCAGGATTCCAGGTTATCATATGTTACAACGAACCCCTAGCGGAGAAAGTAGGCTGTCAAGTCCAACTCATAAGTTCAAGTAAGCTGAATCAACCAAAAATCTCTGCAAATCGGCACGCGAAGAAAGTTTTATTCAAAATTGGTAGCCCTGAAAGGGTTCTCGTGGAGACCTGATAAAGTCGAATTCAGAAAGAAGATGCTAAACCGTAGCATATTGTCGAAGATCCTGCCAGTACGGCTGAATTTTCTTTCAGCTTTGAAAAATACTCTCAGCCTCGGTATCATCTTCCTGACTGTCGCTATCAGAGGCATCGGTTGTTGCAGGAGTATAAACCGGAAGCTCCTCTGTTTCCACGTCCACGCTACCCTTGTAAGAAGCCACCTTCCTGGTCGACCTTTCTGAACAGCTTCCCTCAAACTTCGGCCACGGCCACAGCCCGGCCAAGGCCAGATCCTCATGAGCGGTGTTGAAACTGTCTTCGATCTTGTACGCGTTGTAGTTGTAGACGAGCAGCCCTTCAGAGTTCCACGCCGCCCCGCGTGCGATGCGGTCAGTCGTAAGGTCTCGGAGTCGGAAGCCAGCCAGAGCGCTGATTTCCTGGGCGCCAATGAACAGGTGGGCCGTCCATCCAGCCTTAGGATCCTGGAGAATGTATCGACGAAGATGGACCCAATTCTTTTTGAACATTGTCGGGCTACATTTAGCATTGAGGATGACGCAACTGCAATTCGTCAGTTCATTGTCAGGGCTGACATAAAATCCCTCCTTCATCAACTTCGAAATGTCTTTAGCCTGGACCATGAGCCGCGCCTCCCACTGCGCATCCGGCCAGAGGCCGTCTATTGCCTCGATTTTGTCGAAAAATGTGAACACGACGTTGAAAGGGGGCACTAATGAGGCATTTCCCCTGGTGAGTTTCGTAGGCTGGGAGTTGCTGGCTCCCATTTTGGCGGTTCGAAAGGTCTCTGGAGACTGGAGTCGGCAGTTAGGAGTAAAATGCTGATCGATGAATTAGTTGGTGGCAAGCATCCAGTCCACATAAGTGAGCATTCCTGTCAGGGTTTACATGGTACCCAGGTCCTGTGAGATTGATAAGAGCTGAACTTACTGTAGAACTTGAAGAATTCTAATCTCTGGTTTAACAGGAAGATAATCTGTTCTAGTGGAGTGAGATAAATTATTTGGCAACCTGGGACAAGCTCTCTTTTTGTATTCGAAGATACCTGGAAGGTTTCTCGGCAGATAAGGTTCGAAATTTGAACGATTACACATCATAAGATTGAAATATTCTGGTGAAGAATGTTGATATTTCTAGGAAACCCCCCCTTTCGATCCGCAGTTGAAACAGTCTCCACCGTAAGAAGAGGTGTTATTCATACCACAATCTCAGAATTGCTTAGATTCAAAGCTTTCCTTATCGAAAGAAGCCTCGCTGTGACTCTCAACCTTCGCTTCCTTGTCACTTCCGCGAGACCAAGGCCACCATCCCCCCAGCGTCAGGTTCTCATGCAGGGTGTTGTAGTTTTCCTCCGGCTTCCAAAAGTTGTAATTGTATACAGAAATACGGTTGTCGTTCAAGGCCCGACAGAGCCCGATCCGGTCCTTCGTCAAATCATCCAATCGAAAGTTCGACAGAGTACCGAGGTCTTGTGACATGACGAAGACGTGTGCCATCCACTTCGACTTGGGTTCTTTGAGGATAAAACGTCGTGAATGTTTCCATTGAGATTTGAAGAGTTCCGGAACTTGGTCGGGAAGCATGCATCCCGTCTTCTTGACCTCGAAAGTTGGTGATAAGTGAAAGCCTTCGCGCATGAGTTTCGAGGTACTTCGCCAATGCTCTAGAACGACGATGGCCCTCCACTTTGAGTCCTTTCCATCATTGCCGAGGTTTTCGAATAGATGTAACGCCACATCATGGAAAGGCCACAGGGTGGCGTTTGACACAGTGATTTCCGCTGGTTGACTGAACGAGACGCCCATTTCGCCGAGGTATGATGTGCAATTGACCAAAGCACGGCCTAAAAAGAGGTCTGGGGAAAGAAGGTCTGGGGAAAGAAGGTCTGGGGAAAGAAGGTCTGGGGAAAGAAGGTCTCAGGAAAGAAGGTCTCAGGAAAGATGAGATGGCTGGTTGGAAGTAAGAAATTGACAGCACGTTTTATCTTTAAATAAGTGTTCATCCACACTTTCATAATCCACAACCGCAAAGGTGATGCTTCGCAAAAGGGTGTTGTGGAAAGCTAAAATGTGGTGAACCAAATTTCCCACGGACTATCAATCGCAAGCCGTCTTTTTCTCGTCAGGGTATTGTACCGACATGTATCTCAAATCACCGGTCATGCCGATGTTTCCAACAGGGTTGAGACCAAGCCACTCCTTGAGGTCCTCGCTGCAGGAGTCCTGAATCTCCTTTGGCAACTTGGCCGTCCAATTGACCTGCTGACGCATGAATGGCGCGGTGTAGTAGCCAAAAAGCAGCGCGCGGTCCTGGTCCTTGGTGACGTTGCTGCCTGAGGTGTGCCATACGCGGCCGTCCATGACAATGATGTCGCCGGCCTTGCCCTCGAACGGGACCAACATCTCCGGCGCGTTCTGAGGCACCTGCTTGCGGTACACCCACTTGTTGGATCCTGGGATATACTGCGTCGCCCCGTTCTCCTTGTTGACGTCTGTCAAGCACCAGATGACATTCAGCGCCCAGACGTCTTGCCATGGATCAGGGAAGACGATGCTCTGGTCCGAATGCAGCGCCATGCTCTGCGATCCGGGTCGGGCAATGTTGGCAGTGAAGTTGCTGATGAGAAAGTTCTCTCCCAGCACCGCCTTGACCATGGAAATGGCGGTCGGGTGCGAAATGAGATCCCGGAAGATCTTGTCGAGCTCCATCAGGTAGAAGACGCGCACATTGCTGGGGTTTGGGTCCAGAAACGACAGGTATGTGTCCTCGCCACGGGCCTCAGCAGCTGCCTTAACCTTCCACAACTTCTCAAGAGCGGCGGCGGCCTCTTCTGTTGTGAGAACCGATGGAACGCGCACCCAGCCGTGTTCTCTGAGATGAGCCTTGGCTTCCTCAAGGTCAAAAGCCATTATGATGGATATGGAGTGATATGAAGTACAGATTGACAAGTTTAGCTTATGAGTGGCTCCTGATGTTAAAGTATGTTCGATGTCAGCAGTCTAGAGAGAAAACCATAAATAAGAAGAGAATGTCGCAAAGGTGAAGATGATGGTGATGCGAGTTCCATGGGCTTGGAGATCGTTAGGCAACAGAATCAGCAGCAAATATAGCAGTCCAGGAACCCCGAGGCCAAACCGTCGCTTGGAATGCCGGATCTGTTTTCCGGATGCCGAATCTCGTTTCCAAGTGCAGCACATGTCCCGTAATACCAACGTAGCAACTACTCCTCAATCAACCCCGCCTCTATGCATGCTGCCCTCCCATCGCTGCGGCTTACCGGCAGCTACCCAGTCTGCCTGTCCAATGATAATAGTTGGCGTTCCAACTGATCGACATTCTGTCAGTCGAGAACTATGGGATGGGAGTGAAGACCAATCGCATGCCACTCATAAGAAAACCACGTCAGGCGTACAGACGCGGGCCATGCATGGAGACTGCCTCTGCCGTTGCAATACCTGAATGCAGAAACGAGGGAACCCGCAAAATTGTTATTTACCTGTTGGAATAGATTAGAGATCGTCGCAGGCTTTTTGAGCACCTGAAGCACGTGAACTGACCTGCGAAAGGTCAAATGGCGCCGCATCTCGTGCTGTCGAAACTGTACATGTAGACCTGGGAAGATGTCGCTAGAAAATCATTGAATCCGTCTAATATTTTCCGGTAGTTCTTGCTGGGTAAGCTTCTATCGCAGCCTAGGTTAATATTTCCTATCCTTCCGTCTCACTGGACTTTCAGAAGCCAGCCATCGCCCTCCTTGCCCTTCGCGTTGGCACCGCCCCAAAAGATGACACTCTTCGCGTCCGCGGCGCCAGCACCGAAGTATCCTCTAGGACCCGGATGAGCCTTGCCCTCTGCCTTGACTTCTTCGTTGGGCATAAGATCCACCTCAGCCCAGCTGAACTCTCCAGACTCAAGGCGTGGCAGCTTGTCGCGAATCGCATCCTTCACAGCAGCGGCGTTGAAGCCGTGGCTGGGCAGTTGCAGTGCCCATATGTCGGTGTAGTAGTCTTTCTCGCTGGAGTTGGTCTCCTGACCAAACATGTAGATAAGGTAGTGTCGGCCAACCCCGGTGTCGATAGGGACAAGAGCGCCACCTTCGCGGGGGCGGGGACCAGGCACCAGCGGGTTCGTGGGGAAGTTGACGGTCTTCCACACCAGAGCGTCAGGCTTCTCTCGATCAGTCTCGTTTGACTTGAGGTCCAAGTAATGGATTGCACCACCCATATCGGAATCGGCTCCGATGGTGTAAAGAACGTTGTCCACGAAGGCGGCGGCCGTGGGCGACTGAGGAGCAGGAGGCAACTCGGTCCACGCAAGGGTGTCGAAGTTGTACAACCACGTCTCGGTGCTCGCCTTCTCGCCTAGGGCAGTGCGTCCGCCGTGAAGGACAAGGATGTCTTGCGCATGGTCGATGAAGATGTGATGGTCGAATCTCGGAGTGAGCGTCTTGCCGATCTGGCTGGCACCTTGAATCTTGGTCCACTTCAGACTTTCAGAGTCCCAGAGCCACAAGCAGGTCTCATCGATGGGCTTGCCGCTGGCATCGGCACCGCCGTGGATTATGGCAAATTGGCCACGGGCGCATGCTGCGTGCCTTGTGCGCGGGGCTGGGATGTAGGTCTTGCCGGTGTCTACATCCTTCATAGCGAAAGCTGGATAGCAGGCGTATGTCGCCACCGACTCGCTATCGGTTACGGCTCCATTGGTGATGGCCGGCACAGAGAGTACGTGGAAGTCGGTCGTGCACAGCTGGCCGTCAGCGTTCTCTCCGCCGAAGATGCAGGCCTTGTGGTTGATGACCGTGACCGAGTGATGAGAACGCGCCAGGGAGAGACTTCAAGGGTTGTCAGTTGAATCTTAGTTACGGCGTGACCGACGGGAACTCACGAAGCATCGTCCTCGGGAGTGGTTGCAATCTGAGAGAGGGAAACCTTGAGAGGCTGCGTCGGGCGTGCCAAAGCAACGGCGGCTCCTGCCTCGAGACCAGTCGAGACGACCTGCTCTGCGACGACAGCACCGGCTACCACCTCTGCCATGGCTTCACTAGACAGGTATTTGATGTTGTGTTGGCTGTGAAAAGTTTTGATGATGTGAGTCCCTCGTGGTATGGTATGCGAAGCCCGGTCGGTGGTGGACAGTTTTTAACGGTGAGTCCGTTTGCTCAACAAATTATTAAAGTGGTATAATTTGGTGCAGTGTTGACAGGAAGGATGGGCGGACATAACCACTGGACGTTGAATGACGTAGCTCAGCTCTTTCCACATACGGTATGACGTCACGTGTCTGGGTCCGATTATGTCTCCCTTGGAAGAAAGTCAGCCTACGAATACGCAATAACAATATAAAGCCGCGAATGTTGAATAATATAACGATGACGACAGAAACAGTGACAACGATAATAATGATAGCAATAGCAATGACAACAACGACGAGGACAACAATAAGATTAAGAACAAAGGCGATAATAACGATAACAATGATAACTCTGACGGTGACAAGAACAAGACCAACAGTGCTACTAACAACAATACCAAAATTATGATGGGGTGCCGACTTGGCCTATAGTGGGTGTGATTTAGCGTTCCTTTTTTAAGCCTCAGGGGGAGGAAACGGACGAACCGCTACCTGCTCAAAATAGCCGCATCCCGGGGCCCGGGCCGAAGCGTGGTGTTCGGGGCATGTTCTGGTCAGTCAAAGTCTATCAACACCGCAAGCTTGGGCCTGAAACCAGAATCAACGCCGAAATCTTGAACATTTGGGAACTTGAAAGTCAAAAAGTGACGCATTGCACGCCTGACCTTGCATGTTTCTAAATCGAATCTAGTGGCATCCGACTTAATGATTTTGATTCTTTACAAGCCATGCTTCAACACCTCGGAGAAAGGTCGAAGTGTACCTACTTGACCGGTGACCCACCAGAGATTAACCAGCTAATAACAAATCGTAAAGTTCGCCCGATTACGTCCCGTCTTCCGGGAAGTCATGGCCCGAAAAAGGTGGATCCCGACCAGTCCGGTGCCACGGCCCGGCGTATTATTCAGACCCACTTTGTCCCGGAAGCCGTATCGACAAGGCTCTCAGGTGCCTCAGTAATTAGGTACTACGAACATTTGAGGGCGGAAAACAACATTGTGCCGCACCGTCGATCCGTGAATGCCGGCTTCCTCGCGTGGGGCCGGGCTGGGATTATGACCCCTCGGCGCGAAATTATTCGATTCGATTGGCCCCGGGGGTAAAAGGCCAAGCCTGCACCAACAACAACATGCATGAGAAGGGGGCTGATACTTCTAATATTGGCTTACAACCACCGTGTGGGGACAGTTGTTTTCTCATCGGGGGCCTAATGAAACCCTCAAAGTCAGGTCCAACACCGATTATCTTGCTTTCATCCTTTTCCCTCTCTTCCTTACTCCCTCCTTATTTTGAACGGCACATCGAATCCCAACTCCTCTCGAAGCTCAATGTCTCTCTTGTCTAGAACAATACTTATTTAAGCCACGCAAAGCAACGAATATTCGAATGGGCGCCTCCGAAGTCTGGCGATTCAGGCAGGTTGGCTTTTGGGAGAAGTATGGCGTACCCCTCTGTTTGGTCGTCACCACCGCTCTGAGTTCTGTGCTCATCGTGGCCCATTTGCAAAAGTGGACTGTCAATGATTCGTGGTACGAGTCCTCACTCGCTGCGATTACTTCCAAGCGCGCCGCCGTGCAGTCGGGCATACAACTTGTCGCGGCAATTCTGGGCCTCATACATACTTCAACTGTCGCCGTTCTCATTCAGCACGGCACGAGACTGGCCGTTTTCAATGCCGGCGGATCAACAACCCAGAGTCTCAAAGGGCTGATCAATCTTGGGCTCCCTCGCATTCGATGGGATCTACAATTCCGTTTCCTGGTGCCGATTCTCGCCTTATCGTGCCTGGGTCTCATAAGTTCGGCATTATGGGTTGGTAGCATGACGCCAGTAAGCAGCACCATTGTGGAACGATCGGTCGTTCAAGTACCGTCATTCAAGAACACGACGATGATTAAGGAGTACCCATCCGAAATATCAAGGGCTGGTCCATCTACCACGACGCGGGAAGGCTTGTTCACGTACTCCGTCGGGGTCAAACTTCTGAGCAGTCTGATCGTTTCTGGGTCATCCGCAACGACCTCTGACGGATCAGTCCGCAGACATCCCAAGATCGACAATACTCAGTTCGTTTACGAAGGCCGGTCTTATGGTGTGGGGTCTGCTATCGGCATCCGAGACCAAGCCATCGGCAACCGGGCTTCTGCAATAGATTACTCTTTCCAGGAAGACGGCTATCTTCCCTTGGTCAGATGCATCTACAACACAAGTATGAACTACGCGATCGGTCGCGAATTTCCAAAAAGAACATATGCTACATCTGGATGGCTTCCTGATAGCATAGGAAGCCCAAACTTTTTCGACTATCTTGGGCATTCGCCAGATTCCATTGTAGCCGTCGGTGTAGCCCATAGTTCCGAGTCGCCTCGGCGCTACATCTCTATAGCGGCTGGTAAGAACTATATTGCTCTCAACGCCACACAATGTACGGTCGACTTCTCTCCAACTCGATTCAACGTGTCGGTTGGAATTCGGGGCAGAAACATCACCGTGACTCCGGCCGGCGCCATCGACGACTTCAATCCACAACGCAACCTTACGCGGACAGTTGTCAGGCAGTTCGAGCTCATCTCCAATGACTTGACCAGCTTCTATGAGTCGATTCTTGGTAACGCATTTCTTTCGAGTGTTTCGGCATGGAACATGTCCTCGAATGAGAATGGCACCGTACCACAGGATGAAGTAACCCTCCGTGGTCTGGAGAAGGCCATCGTTGCCATGACAGAGTCGATGCTTGCGTCATACGGTGCAGCACAGCTGGTTGTGGGCAATTTCTCCGAGCAGAGGGAAGCAAATGTGACGGTTGGGGTGTTTGTGATCGGGGAAAAGGTCTATGTTGTCGCCATTGCCGTACTCAACGCACTGGTCGTTCTCGCAGTCATTTGGGAGGCGGTCAGGACAAGAGGATGGCGAGACCTGCCGCCGTTCGACTTTTCAGATCCTGATTGGTTGATCACGGCCTCTTTTCGAGGCGGCGTGCTTTCCAGGGCCTCGGAGGCAGATGGTGAAGGCGGTATGGTCTCACAAGGTTTTCAGAAGGGGCCTCATTCTTTCTACTCGCCTGTAGCCGAGAGTGAAGACAAGGAAGAAAGATACGTGAGTGTAGTTGCTGGTAAAACAGAAGCGCAAGAGGTACTGCTAGTTGTTCATGGTAGCTGAGACCCAATGTTATCTCGATGGATTCAATAAGCCTTGACTGCTTCATATCTCACGTAAGGGAAAGGTTGTGGAATGAGTAGATTGGTGGCACGAGATCATCGAGGATTACTCCGAGAGGGAGCTGACTATCGGCTCCGACAGACTGCCGGCGCTCGCGGGATGCGGCAGAAACTTCGGCGGAGGCCGCGCCGACGGCGACACCTACCTCGCCGACCTCTGGAAGAGCCAGCTCACGGAGGACCTGATGTGGGAGAGCAAGCCGCTGAAGACGAAGGCGATCATCCGGGACCTGAGCCACTTCCGACCTCCGACGTGGTCGTGGATCTCGATCCGCGACCTGCCGCGCTCGCACGAGCTCGGCGAGCCGACGGCTCCGAGGCAGGTCTCGAACTCGTCGTCGATACGCCGGCGGTTCGGCGGGCAGGACGAGTCCGATGCGTTGCTCGTGGACTACTCGATACGGCTGGCGCACGCGAGCGCGCCTTTTGGGGATGTGTCGGGCGGGACGTTGACGCTGCGGGCGAAGATCGTGTCGATTGGTGATGTTCGGCCGGGCGTCTCGAGGGAAGCTGTGTTGATGGGTAGTAATTATGTTTTGAACGCCCAGGAGGAGGCGGGGGTTTGTTTGTTGAGGGTGCAACGTGCTTCGCGGTGGGATGTTCGGAACCAGGGCCGTAGTCAAGACGGGGACGGATGTCTTCTCGTGATGAAGGATAGTAGCGGGACGGGGTTTCGTAGGGTCGGTACTTTTTGGGACTGGTGGGATTCAGCTGAAGGTCGACCAGCTTTCGATTGGGATGTCGTGAAGTATACAGACGTCGTGCTTGTGTGATTACTGAAGTGAGCAGGCGGTTGAGATGTTCTAGATGCTCCACACCATGCTCCGCGGTGACTATGATGCTGGGTGGTAGTCCTGTGTCCTCGCTCAGCAACCAACTTTGCCATACACCACATGCACTCTGTCACGGGTTTATGGTAACAATATCACGAGTAATGTGCGTCGCTCAATGTCGCCTGTATTGATGACTGATGAGCAAAACCTTATGGATAGGGGGAGCACAGGCCGTATCGGAAAGTTCGTGATGATTGACGAATGCGGAGAGCTCCAAGCTTTGGTTTGGGCTGTGGCCTTGGCGTCAACCCCGCTCCAACTCCGACAGAGAGGGAAGTGATCGGCCATAGCTTTGGCATCGATCTTCGACCCCGCGCGAACCCTTCATTCCTTGTCCCAGCTCAAGCTCCCACAGTCCAGCACCATCGCCCTTCTCACCCGTTCTCTCCTCCAGCCTCTAGCCTTCTCACCAGCCCTGACACCTCGACCCATACAGCGTCCCTCCAGACGACCTCCATATCTTTGCGAGAAAATACATGAACCAGCTCATCTCATACTATGAAACAGCTATTCCTTCTTGCATCGCGGGGTAGGCTCGACGGATCGGTCATAAAAGCGTAGGTTCTTTGAGACGAATGTTAGCTTGGGCCCAACTCATCCAAGGGATCGCTGCGCCTCACCTAGTGATTCAGCTCGTAGACCAGAGTTGCCAGTAGCTTGATTGACACGGGCTTCGACGGGCGGGCGGGGAATTCCAGCAGTTCGCCGAGACAGGTGACGTGGGCCGACGTGTGGTGGTGGAATGGGTGCAGCTGCAGGTGCAGGTCGCCGAAGATCCGGGTGAATTGATCCATGCTTTCGAACGTTCGTCTTCATGCGTGGTGACCGGTTTGGCCGGGACGTTGAGGGTCCAACTGAGCCATTAGCGGAGGAAACCCACTCCTGACTTACCGATCAAAGACTCATAAAACCGATCAGAAACAGCGCGTAAGGGAGAACGAAGTCAACGCTTTCACACTGGACGGAACGGAACGGAGACGCAGACGGAATATCGAACAGAACTTCGAGAAAAGGACGTTTCGTTCATGACCCACAACGGGAATCACAGGGCGGGCGTGGACGCAGACGGAGGCGCAGACGCAGACGGGCAATCGGGCTCCTTCACATCGGGAAGCGAAAGCGGGGAGGTGGAATGCGAATGCCGACCGGAGGTGCGATGAGGTGAGGTGACTGGGGGCATTTTGGTGCTGGCACTACTGCAGACGGCGGGAATGTGGAGACGTGGCGACGCGACATGTCATGGCATGTTTGTGTGGTTCGGAGAAGGGTGTAACGACTTTTGTTGCGGTGGTGAGGTTCATGAGGTGGCTTCATGGCTTCATGAGGACGGTTGGTGGTGATGACGATGATGCTTCATGGTGGACGAGGACGGTCGACGAGGTCGAGGTGAAAACAAAACATGCTGGGCATCGACAGAGCTGAAATTGTTGCTGCTGAGAAGGACTGAGCAGTTGGTAGGGATCCGGAAGGGTTATATTGAGTCGGACCACAGCGAGGTGGTGTGAGCTTTGGGAGGGAGGGAGGGAGACAAGCTCGGTCGATCTGGTGCTGATTGAAAGCTGAGTGAGGGGCTTCTGCTGGATCGCCAATCAGTTGATCATCCGGCCCATCCCTCGCAAACAGACTTCCGTAGTGACACTTCACGTGGCTCGGCAGATCAGTCGTCGTTGGGGATTGGCGAGAGTGATTCTGGGCGAATAATCACCTCACTTTTGGCCGTTGTTTGCTGGACCTGTCTCACTCGGAAGGTCGGAGGGCAGGTACTCAGGTTGGCATCAGGTGAGGTGAGAGCGTGGGATGGCCTGTTTTGTGGTTCCACTGGAACGGTGTGTCACTGAGCAAGACCCACCCCATTATCGCAAAGCCCCGATAACAAACGCCGACCCATGAGCTCCTTCCTTGGCTGAGGAGAGAGATCTTGCATTGAGATCTCCCAAGAAAATACGGCAAGATGACCTCGAGATAGCTTCCCCTCCCGTGCCCTCCAATACAGCATCAAGCTCGTAGTCAACATCGCTATAAGACTCTCAGGGCAGCTGCCTCGATGGACCTGACTGGACGGAAGGGCGTCATAGGGTGGGTCTGAGCGGTTTCCCCAGATTTTACCCCAGACTCTGCCGAGTCGGAGACCGCACTAACGCCGATTCAGTGTCCCAAGTCGACCGGACCTGCCTTGGCCTGCCTTGACCTGCACCTGCCCCCGCCTGCCGCCCGCGCCCATCGCAGCTTCCCGAACGTGGTGCCTCTTTCCACTTTCCACTTTCCACATTGCTCTTTCCACACCGGGCAGTGACGGCGTGACGGGAGAGAAGGAAAAAAGAGGGGCAATCGGCCCCCGCCATGCCTGTTTCGGATGATCAGCCAACCAGACCACCGATCTCACACGACAGGTACGACCGGGTAGCTCTGTCCCTGAGATGCCTTCCATCTACAATAAAATACAGGAAGAAGGTACGAGGGCAACTTAGGTAAGGCAGGTCCGTTGGTCCCTGAGGTTGATAGTGGAGGTTCACAGACCAATCTGTGGGTCGTGGCAGGTGACGGGTGGGCGCCTGTGCCTTGCCTTGCCTTGCGGTCCACGTCCTTGCCTTTTGGTGCATCGCCCATCTCATGACGGGAGCTCTCCAAGTCACGCGATCGTCTGGCAACGCCATTCATGGCCAGTTACCCCGCCCGGTCTGACGAAACCGTAATGCATCATCAATCTTAGCTGCCCAGCCGCGATACTTGTCTCTCTCCTACCCTCACCACCAATTCGACATGTATCTGCACCAGCATTTCAGCCAGGCGACGGCCGATGCAGGGAGCTCTCTGCCCCAGTACCTGTACCCGACTCGTCGATGCCACCAAACAGACCATCCCATCCCGTCTCATTGACCACTTGAGTACCCGATTGCCCTGGTCTACAGATACGACAATAAACCACATTGCGTCAAGCTTGCTCCTTGTACTCGGTACCTCAACCCTTGCTCCCATCTCCATGTCGAACCCCTCTCCTCAGACCAGAAGCACGGCCAGCTCAGGGCAAGCTGAGGTCAGGCGCCCCGACCGACCCCCCCATCGACATCTATCTACCTCGACCTTCCCCCTCATCCTCTTCTCCTTCTTATTCTCCTCTCCATCCCACTCATCCAACCACTCATCAATCAACTCAACCAACAACTTCCAAAGGTACCTCTTCCTCCCCCTCCGTTGACCTGAGCTGTCACGCGAGAAACACGCCTCAGAAGCTTACTTGGATCTTGCTGCTAGACACAAACCACTCGATCATCTAGATCAAGTTACACCACAAACACAACACCATCATGTCGGAACCGCTCTCAAAAGTCGACTCTGCCGTCCAGGGCCTCTCTTCCTCCCCGCCCAAGGAGAAGCGCAGGCAAAGCTCCGCCGCCGCCCCGGGTGTCATGAACATCAACGACCTTGGTATGTCACTGCTGCCAACCTGACCCCGCACTTGGCCGGGTACTTCGGAACACAGCTAACATGACCTTCCCAACGCAGAGGCATCAGGTACTGAGCTTCAAATAGCTATCGAAACACAGAAGACGGGATGGTAAGTCTCTCCCACACCGTGGCCTCGTGCCCAGGACGTCATCGCCCATGACATTGACCAATGGCTGACTGTTACCCTCCAGGAAGATCAACACTTCCCCGAACACGATAGAGGAGAAGGAGATCCTCAAGAAGCACCTGACAGAACCACCAGTGAAGAGGATCGATCTCCATTTCCCTCTCGGCATGGAGGTAACAGCACGGAACCTCAAGGGTGTAACAATCAAGGACGCCTTGGACGCCATCCACAAAGCATACAAGAAGAGGGTAAGCATACCATTCCTTAATCAGCAACTAGGTTCACCTCACTAATGTTCTCGCCAGTCCGACGATGAGCTGGACAAGCCATACTTGATGGGCTTCGAATGGGACAAGGAGGAGTCATGGACCCGTCTCATTGTTCATCTGTCGCCCAACTCCACCCAGCAAATGTCTAGTGGCGGCAAGAAGAAGAAGAACAAGAAGGAGGAGGAGTAATGAACCTATACCACTTTCCCGTATCTTGTCCAATACTTCCTGATCTCAACACTGGCTTACTTCGCTCTGGCTCGTATGGCGACTTGGCGCAATGGGATATTGCGATAGATATCGTCGGGTGTGTTTATCGGTTCGGATCTCTACTCTGGAGCTCGAGGCTTCGAGGTGTACTAGCTAGGATAATTCGGGCGTCAACTGTGTGCCGGCTAGGCCTGAGTGGTGAAAGCTCTGGTCTGGTTTTGAATTGACAAGTTGAACGTCACTTACACGACCTGGCTATGCGATGACATTATGCTGATGATTATTACTGCTCACCTACCTGCCCCATTTGCGACTTGGAGGTAGTCGTGTTCAGTGGACGGACGAGGTTGGTGTGTCGTTGCCGCTGTGGATATGAGAAGCTCTGCCTTTACGGCTTTCCTGCATCGTGACCCACTCACTATCCGCGGGACTAGGGTCTTAAGTCCCGAGCGGGCTTGCTATTGTTATTCTGCGTACATCTTCGGGCTGCTGAGGCGTTTGCAAGAGCCCATGATACTTTGGAATATCATCTTCAAGCTTCATCAAAAGACAAGTGTGGCACTCGGGTGAATACCGCCGCGTCGTTCAGCGAAACCCCTCGTTTCCCAACCTGAGAAATGGCGGGGTAACCACCTACCTCACTAACATTACCACACCCATTACCTAGTACTCCTGTTAGTGAGGCATCTTCAGCGACCGCCGTTTCGAGCCAGGAAGAAGCTCCGGAAAGCAGTAGCTTCAATCAGCGGCATGAACAAGCTGAGCCTCCGAAACCTCGAGTGTTTGCACTCCGAATTCCACCTTCTCCATCAGTCAGCAAAGGTCTCCATCCCCAGGCTTAATCGACCCTTCCCCTCCCCCGCGGGGTAACCATGCCGTGCTGACGAACCTCCAAAGCCAGCGGAAATTCGGAATTGAGAGGCCTAAGAAACCGGCCCCGGCTAACGTCGGCAGACGCCGCTTCTCCCCGACTTTACCGGCGCGACCACCACCGCGGAATCCAGAACAGACTGTCGGCTTTGCAAGGGACTCAATTCCATCCTCGCACCAAACGTCATCTCGATTACCTATTCCGCCGCTGGGAGGGATATAGCTTAAGCCATGGAACACGCTTCATCCTCCCTGCCTCGTGTCTTTCCCATCACACAGGCCAGCTCCAGCTGAGATTCAATTCAGAGCTTGAGAAACCGCCATAATGCCCGTCACGAACTTTGATTTCAAGGAGAAATACCGGTACCAGGTCGGCTTCGACTCTCATCTCGAGTGCGTTCTTCATATCTTCCCAACCAATGAAGAGTGTTCAACACATTGCTAACCTCCGAACCCAGGTCCGAAGCCGTCCCCGGATCCCTCCCCATCGGCCAAAACTCCCCGCAAAAGCCGCCCCACGGCCTCTACGCCGAGAAGCTCTCCGGCACCGCCTTCACCGCGCCCCGCTCCGACAACAAACAGGCCTGGCTCTACCGCATCCTCCCCTCCTGCGCCCACCCGCCCTACGCCCCGACAAAGACCCCCGAACCCAAGGCCGAGCCGTCCAAGCTGCAATACATCCCCAATCAGCTGCGCTGGGACCCGTTCGACCATGACGAGGCGCGACACCAGGACTTCGTCCAGGGCCTGAGGCTCGTCGCCGGCGCCGGCGACCCCACCCTCAAGCAGGGCATCGGCATGTACATCTACGCCGCGGGCCGGAGCATGGACGACAAGTCCGCCTTCTACTCGGCCGACGGCGACCTCCTGATCGTCCCGCAGGAGGGCCCGCTCGACATCCGCACCGAGTTCGGCTGGCTCCTCGTCCGCCCGCTCGAGATCGTCGTCATCCCCAGGGGCGTCAAGTACCAGGTCCACCTCCCCTCCGGCCCGGCGCGCGGCTACGCGCTCGAGCTGTACCAGGGCCACTTCGTCCTCCCCGAGCTGGGGCCGATCGGCACCAACGGCCTCGCCAACGCCCGGGACTTCCAGGCCCCCGTGGCCTGCTTCAGCGAGGACTTCGGCGCCACCGCGCAGGAGGGGTCCAACAGCTACTCCGTGACGGTCAAGTTCAACAACGACTTCTTCCGGACGGAGCAGCCGCACACGCCCTTCGACGTCGTGGCCTGGCACGGGAACTACTACCCCTACAAGTACGACCTGGGCCGCTTCAACACGATCGGCACCATCTCCTACGACCACCCGGACCCGTCCATCTTCACGGTGCTCTCGGCGCCGAGCGGGGTCCCCGGCACGGCCATCGCCGACTTCGTCATCTTCCCGCCGCGCTGGCTCGTCGCCGAGGACACCTTCCGGCCGCCGTACTACCACCGCAACACCATGTCGGAGTTCATGGGCCTGATCACGGGGGACTACGACGCCAAGAAGGCCGGCTCGGGCGGGTTCGTGCCGGGGGGCGCGAGCCTGCACAACACGATGAGCGGGCACGGGCCGGACGCGGCGAGCGGCGAGGGCGCGCGGAACGCGGAGCTGCGGCCGGCCAAGGTCGGGGCCGGGAGCTGCGCCTTCATGTTCGAGAGCTGCGCCATGGTCGGCGTCACCGAGTGGGGGCTCAGGACGTGTCGGAAGGTGCAGGAGAGGTATAGCGAGGAGAGCTGGGGCGGCGTTCCCGTGCATTGGAAGAGGCCTGAGGGGGTCGAGACGGAGGGGCATTTGTTGAAGTGATGGGGGAGTGGATGATGTACAAAATTGAATGTTAGAAGCATATCTCGGATCACTCAATCACTCCGCACCTTTAATGTACTATGCTGATTTTGTTGCCGCTGTATCTGTTAACAGTCAATGTCTACACAACCAGTCGTCCGCGACACGCCCAAAGTGAGACATCTTGCCGAGTTGAACACCACAATGAAACCCGGCACCTAACGCGACGATGATTTTCGGTGTTGAGACAAGGCAGTCGACACCCCTCCGACTTGACATGACACCAACACCCAACCATGCAAGGTGGATGATAAGTCGAATGCAGGAAACTGGGGCCAGCGGTGCTGACTGCCTCGTTCAGCTGATGGGATCCGATATCAGGCTGGCGAATGAACGTCGTCCGGATTGTTTACCCCTCCTACAGGCCCCTTCTTGCCGCCGGACACGATTACCAACTTCCATTTTTCATCTTTTTCTCGAATACCAAATCCCCAACGACTCACGAAGTCCGATGACTCTTAGAGGATTGCAACAAAGCCTCTGCACATGTCGCGCGCCAAAATCTTGGCGATACACTGCGACTCGCTGCTCAACGACGATTTCTCTACCCTCTCCACCCGACGACGACCGAGGCCGGGCCAACATCTCACGCGATGCGACTCATCAACGTGAAGACGGGGAAACTGGAGCAGTTTCACATCAATAAGCCACCTTACGCGATCTTGTCGCACACATGGGGCGCCGACGAAGAGGAAATATCGTTTCAAGACGTCGAAAGTGGAAATATTTCGGGAAAGGAGTTTGGAAAGTTCAAGCTTGAGAAATGCTGTAAACAGGCCAAAGAAGACGGCCTCAACTACGCATGGATCGATACCTGCTGCATCGACAAAACGAATTCCGTCGAACTCAACGAAGCCATCAACTCTATGTACCACTGGTACCAGGCAGCGAATACCTGCTATGCGTATCTTGCCGACGTTTCTACGGAGGATAGCACGACAAACTTGGCAGCGCTGCAACACAGCCTCTGGTTCACGAGAGGATGGACACTACAGGAACTCCTTGCGCCTAAAGACTTGGTATTCTACGGGCGAGGCTGGGACTATTTAGGGTCCAAGACCCAACTTGCCGAAGTGTTGGGAGAAATTACCAGCATCCCCCCTCGATTTCTTCTAAGAAACGACGCACTGTATGAAGCGAGTATTGCGCAACGCATGTCCTGGGCTGCTAGGCGCCGGACAAAGAGAGTGGAGGACATAGCGTACTCTCTTCTCGGTATTTTTAACGTCATGATCCCGATGATTTACGGCGAAGGAGAAAAAGCCTTCCTCCGATTACAGGAGGAAATCATGAAAAAGTCAACGGATGACTCGATTCTCGCTTGGGGACTAGCTGCAAACTCGGACACGCCCAAGGTCGAGAACTTTATCATGTATGGCAATGTCCTTGCAGCGAGTCCTGCCGCCTTTGCGAACAGCGGGACGGTCGTGTCCCGTGGAAGCTCTAATGCGACAATAGAGTCATTGGGGCTAGTTCGGGGCTTTCTACATGCGCGCCTTCCTTTGCACAAGCACGGTGGGCAAACATTCGGCTTACTGGATTGTCGTCCTGACCATGGAAACGATGCATTCATCGGAATCCCTCTGTCCCGTATTTCACCAGGAATCAAGTCGGACGAGTATATGAGACCAATGGGCTCCGAGGCCACTCGATTTTCTGCGTCTGACCTGACAATCACACCAACATCCGTACGAATTCACGAACCTGAGCGCTTCAAAGAAGCTCCGACTTACAACCGGCGATACGGGTTCCGCATCAACGTGCCATCCACGGGCGAGCTGGAGCTGATCGATGTTCGACCACAGAACCGATGGGAGAAAGAGGAGACTGAAGAACCTTTTATCTTCAGCGGAGTTGATTTTCAAGTTGACAGCTTTCAACAGACATGGGTTAGGCTCCGCCACCGTCGTCACGATGCACCGAACCCACAGGATTTTGTGATGGTTCTCGAACTCGAAGTCAAAGACTCGCAGCCACAGGCTCGCTGCCACGTCATGATTGCGTCGAGGGATACGGATCTCGACGCGATTGTAGGCCTCCCAGGTCTATTGAAACATGTCTTTGGCAAGTCCACCGCTGGCAACGGTCTACTCGAAGTGAAGGCGACCCTGAATCAGGATCGCATGGCAATGCAGCAGGTCTTTGCCGTCAACCTGCTCGCGCATCCCTCGCTCCCAGGTACACCGCAATCCCCCAGTGCAACCGCTGAGCTTCAGCTCGTAGAGCACACTCTCAACTTGCAGATGGTTTTCAAAGAAGACAAGCAGATGCGGCCCAAGATGGATACGATTCCCGAAATACTGCGCGAAAGTATCGCTTCTCTTCAATCCAGAGAAAAGCGCATTGAAGTTGTTGATAAAGAAATGGACCAGCTGCAGAAACAAATCAACCAGTTACAGAAGCAAATCAAAATTTTGCAGAACGAAAAGCACGACCTAGTCAAGGGTTTGAACAAAGAGGCCAAACATATGCAGTTTCTATCCCAGGAGAATAACACCCTCTTGGAAAGGCACACCGAGATAATCCAAACGGTCTCTTCGTCGCGAAATTTACCGGAGTCACTGGGGGAAAAGCGAGCAACACTATGGGACGAGGAGATGCTCGACTATTTCTCAGACACTCTACTTTCCTCCGACAGGCTGTACGATAGTCTTTCCGACATTCAAGACAGAAGTCAGAGGATCTTCATGCAAGCAGTCGACATGGGGTGTTTGGCTATCATGAGGTTTCTCGTCAGCAGCATGGACAACCTCTTGTTTGAAGACTCGCTTGGACGCAACGTACTGTGCAGGGCTATAGACAACAACATTTCAGCGGCAATATGGCTAATCGAAGAGAGTGGCATTGATTCTGCTCACATCGACAGCCGCGGCGTTCCTGCATTGGTAGCGGCGGCAGCAGAAGGGCACCTCAGCATCGTCCGCAGTCTTCTTGATCACGGCCAGTCTGTTGATGTCAGAGACTGTAATTGTGATACGCCACTGTCTGTTGCCATGCATGAGGGACATATAGAAGTTGGTCGATTCTTGTTGAAACGAAATGCCAATGTGGATGGAGCTCCGTCAATAGCCGGCGCGCCGCTACCCTCTTGGCCTCCTTTGGTACGTGCGGCTGCTTATGGACACCTCGACTGCGTACATCTGCTACTCGAATCGGGAGCAAACCTCGAAAGTCGAAATCACAATGGAGAAACTGCACTTGCCTGCGCGGCATCGTCAGGGCATCACGACATCGCTCAGCTACTTCTCGATGCTGGGGCCGACATCGATCCCAAGTCAACAACTGGCTCCACTCCATTGATGCTTGCAGCAAGCAACGGTCACCTCGAGGCTTCCCAACTGCTACTCGACCGAGGGGCTAATATACACTCGCAGGGCGATGGATACAATGCTTTGACGGAGGCTGTCTCCGGCGGTCATGAGGATGTCGTCGAGATGCTACTCAGCCGGGGCGCCAACATTGAATGCAAGACGACGTTCGATTACACTCCCTTGATACAAGCAGTGATAAAAGACCACGGAAAGGTAGTCCAGATTTTGCTTCAACGAGGAGCCAATCGAGATGCCAAAGACGCCGATGGCCAGACCGCTCTGTTCTGGGCAACTCGCATCAAGGACTGCAGAATGATGCGGCTTCTTCTCGACTGGACAGTTTTGTACCAAGGAAGTAAATCAGTCGGCCCAAGTATAGACAAAATGCTTGATGGCTACGTAACTTACTCGCCACCTCTAGATAAGAGCAGAGTCCGCCAAGGCGGCCTGAATAGGCCACGAGCGGATAATACATACCCAATCCACGCAGCCGTCGCGCAAGGTCACTTGGACGCCGTCCGGATCCTCGTGGAAAGAAGAGTCGAACTCGATGTGAAAGATGAATGGGGTCAGACACCATTAGACCTGGCGAGGCACCTTCTTCAGAACCCCGAGAAAAAGAAAGAACTCCCCGAGCTTCAAGATATATTCCAGGTACTGGAAAAGGTCGCATTTCGAACGGGAGTCTTGTTGTCAAGAACAATCCCGATGTCGCCTTGGAGGTCGGATGAAAGTAGCAGTAACACTTCGAAAAAACGGTGGTGGAAAGCGTAGAGGCCACAATCGCTTCCAACGCCTTCGGCGATTGCAATAAACAACGTTCGTGAAGATGTTTCTTTCCTTCCTTGGTATTCTTTTCAGTGATCGGCAACGCATCAGGGCAAGGCTGCCGAAAACGCATTGAGACAGACGAAGATCAGTAGAGAAGAGTCAAAACGGAGAGTCACGATTATCATTGAGCACAACAGCTTCAGAGACATCTAATTGTTCATTATCTCTATTAACATAGTAGTGTGGTCATTACAGAGGTTCATATGCTACCCAAACAAACAAAATCTATCCATGTCTATCCCAGAAAAGCACAATCATAGCCTTGTGTATCCCACTTTAAGGCTTGCTAACCTGCTCCTTTCTAAAGAACTTGAAGTAACCAATGCAGATTCCCAGGTTCAACAACAACACGACCCAGAACCAGGCGCTGGAGAGCGCCACACCGACACCCTCGCTGATATCAGGGAAGACGGGCCCGGGACCAACGTTGTTGGGCGCCGTCGCGCGGGCGAGCATGGTGAAGATGGAACCGACGACCTGCGCCGCTGCACATGCGGCCGCGACGTGGACACGGGTGAGAGTCAGCATGAGAATCATACCGATACCAGCACCCTGGAGGCCGTCGAGGACACCGAGCCACAACCAGAGGATACGGCTAAGGACGGCTCCGGCGACGACTCCGCCAGCCCACGGCATCCAGACACCAATGCGGGAGGTACCCCACCAGATCTGGGCCCAGCGCGGGGCACCGAGACCGACGGCGAACATGGGGAACAGCCAGGGATGGCTTGCACTGGCCTTGGCCAGGCCCCAAAGGACGATGGCCCAGACGAAGGTGAAGAAGAATAGGGCGAGGAGGACCATACCCCAGACCGGGACGTGCTGGGACGAGAACAGGAAGAACCAGTTACGTCCGAACAGCGGGGAGAGGAAGTAGTTCTGAATCGCGACGGCCAGGAGGTACCAGGCGATGGTCTTACGCTTGACAAGGGATTGCCAGAGCTGAGGGACGGGACCAGGGGACTCGCGGTAGAAGTCAGGAAGACCGAGGTACAGAAGAGCGCCGACAGCCCAGAGAAGAAGAGCCACGGGAAGACAGATACCCAGCAGGGCGGGGGATCCGGCGAGAGTGGGCTTGGGCTGGGAGTTGGCTTCGGCCTCAGACACCAGAGAACCCCAAGCCCAGAGACCGAGGGTGTAGAGCTGGGTCAGGCCCTGGATGATGGCGAGGCGCTGAATCCACTTGGGAACGGTGGAACCACCGTCGGTACCGAAGTTGAAGGCGAAGGCGAGGGATCCCGAGGCGGAGGCGAAGGCGTACAGACCAGTCGCGGCGTTCTGGAGCCAGACCTGGGTGACGTCGTCGGCGGCGAAGGGAGAGCAGCCGAGGATCAGGAAGGCGATGCCGTAGACGATGTAAGGCGCCGAGAGGGGGTACAACAGGGGGATCGTGCGGGACATGGTGTACCAGCACAGGGAGCCGGCGAGGTAGATGGAGGCGATGATGTAGAGCTTGGACGCCGTCTGGCCGACCTCACCAGTGAGAAGGGTGACTTGGTACGAGTTGGTGGCGATGATCTGGTTCAGGGCCAGAAGCATCGCGTAGACGGGCCAGTCGCCGACCTTGTACTGCAGGTATCTAGGAAATGGTTAGTTCTGTCGGGCAAGATTTACGAATTGAAGACTTACTTCTTGACACCAGTAGGGGGAACGTAGTCATCGGGAAGGGCGAACTGGGCGTGGTAAGAGCCAGGGGAATCAGGAGGCGTCTGGTTGCCGTATCCGTCTGCTTCGTTGGCGTTGGTGCTATTCATCAGGTGGGAACGTCTGGGGGCGCGGCCGCGCTCCATCGGCAAGCTCAGCTTGGAGCTGGACAGGTTCTTCAGCATGCCGAGGGGAGATCTCGAAGGCGAGCGGGTCCTGGAGCCCGATCTCCTTCCGGAGGCGGGGGACGAGGGGCGCGAGGGACGACCCAGCCTGGCATCGAGGTACATGTCGAACCACTCCTTTTCACTCTTCATGAGGTAGTCCTCGATACAGAGCTCGGAGATGGAGTTGCCGGGGTTCAGGTTCTTGAGTCGCTCCTCGAACTCCTGGTAGAACTCGCCCTTGGAGTCGGTGAAGAAGGGGTCGACCTGCTGCAGCTTGTAATCGTGGCGGTCACCGACGACGTCCTCGACACTCAACATGGATGCGCGGGAAGAGTTGTCGTGGATACCGAGAGCGCCACCGGGAGGAGGCAGGGGAAGCGTGTCGGCCATGGAGAAGCCCGAGACATTGCGGCTGTGGTTCTGGGGGTCAGGCTGGGAGTAGTTGGAGTAACCAGAGATGTTGCGGCTATGAGGACCGGGGGAAGCGGAGCGGGAACCACCGGGCGAGTCGACGTAGGCCGGGGAGGGCGAGATGATGGGCGAGCCGGGGGTGCTGGAGTAGTACCCGGCGGGTGTCTGCATGCCGGCGGGGGTGGTGCGGCCGGTGTGGAGGGTGGCGTCGTCGTCGTAGTCGGAGACCTGCCTCATCCAGGCGGGGGAGCGGTCGACGAGCTCGACCTCGTCGCGGAGGCCGGCGTTGGAGCTGGCGCGGGAGTGCTTGACGAGGACGTTGCCCTTCTTGAGGCCCTTCTTGCCGTACTTGGCGTGCGCCTTGATGACGCCGGCCTGGAGCTTCTCGAGCTTCTGGAGCCACTCGGCGACGGGGAAACGCTGCTTGGCGGAGTAGGCACGCATCTCGGCGCGGGTCTTTGTGTCGGCGGCGAGGGCGGATTCGATGGCGCTCTTGAACTGCTTGGTAAGATGGGCCTGTGAGGGAGGTTAGTGATGTTGAGCGGATGTAGCGGAGCGTGGAGAGAACGTACGGCCTTGGTTGATTCGACGGTGAACCACCAACCGGGCATTTGTCCGAGACCACCGACGCGGGCACCGACACCCAGGGCTCCCTTTCTTCCGAATTCGACAGCGACCAAACCGAAGGGCTCATCTCTCGAGGGGATAAGAGCGAACTCGGCACCACTGAAGATGTAAGGCGGGAGAGCAGTGAATTCGGGCTTGGAGAAGACACGTCCGGGGTAGAGTTCCATAAGCTTAGCCAGCTTCAAGGCTGCGAACTTGCCGTACAAGTCAATGACGGGACCAATGGTGATGAGCTGGGTCTTGGGGTGCTTTTCCAGGACCTGGGGGAACACGTCGGCGATGAGATCAACCTAGAGAGACGGTATGTCAGCCAACATCGTTTGGGTTTTCGGAGAATGAGGATCACTTACACCCTTCTGCAGAGACCAACGTCCGACGAAGACGAAGAGCTCGGCTTCGGGGTCGACCTTGAGGCCGGCCCACTCCTGGGCCTGTCTGCGGAGATCACCACGGCTGGCCTCCCACGCGGGGTCGACCTGGGGCTTGGGGGCGTTCATGAAGTCGTTCTTGTCCCAGTCGGCGGTATCCGTGGGGTCCGGGTTGGGAAGCTGTCCGATCTTGGAGAGACCCCAGAAGATGGGGTAACGGGCGAAGGAACGGTCACCGTACTTCTTGGAGACACCGACGGCGCCGAAGCCGTTCTGGTGGATGCGGAGGTAACTGGCGGAAGCGTGAAGCAGGTTGAAGACTACGCGGAGTCAGTGATAATGATCAGGATGGTTCCAAGAGGGTGATGCTTACCTGAACCGTATTGGACGTATTTCTTGACGATTTCGAGGTCCAGGTTGTACGCCTTGCAAACCTCCTTGCTCTCCTCGGGAGTGCGCATGGGCCAGAGACCTTGGAACTCGGCGTTGTGCAGGGAGACCGCGACGGGGATGGTACGGGGAAGGAGGTACAAGGGGGCAATCGTTCCGTGGTAATCGTTGATGTGGTAGAGATCAACGGGGAAACGGTTGACGGTGTCGGCAATACATTGGTTCCTTTTGATAGTTAGAAATGACTGGAGACATGTGCAATGGAGGAGTAGTGACTTACCAGGCAGAGTAGTAGATGGCAGACTCTAAGTCGTCCATACGAGGGGGGTAAGGCTCAGACTTGGTCTGCTTGCGGAAGACTGGGGCGTCCAGCAGAACGTAGGTGATGTTGTCGACCTGGTGATACTGCACCTTGATCTCATACATCTGGTCCATGATCTTGACGAACATGCTGGGAGCGGGCTGGTCCATGGGATATTCGACATCGCCAACGCAAGGAACGACCCAAATGAGGTCCTGGTGCTTGAGCGCCTTACCCATCAATTGGGCCATGACACCCAATCCACCGATCTTGATCTTGATGTTCCAGTCGTCGATGTTGTACTCCATGGTCGCGATCAGCACCCTCTTGCGCTTGTTGGCCGTGGTAGCGGCGGCGGCGGCGGACACGAGATCGGTCGAGCTGCGCATCTTCAGGGGCATGGCGCCGGCAGCGCCGATGAAGGCGTTGCGGGTCTTGTCCATGATCATGCCGAACTTGGACTTCTCGCCGACACCGTGCTCGTTGAACTTGACCTGGTAGAAAGAGCGCTTGAAAGCCTGAACAGCCGCGAGACCGCCGACGATGGGGAGAATGAATAGAAGCAGCCAAAGGAAGAACTGTACCCACATGTTGCCCTTGGGGATGAGCTGGTATTGCAGCGTGGCGTCATTCAGAGTGACCTTGAATGCGAGGTAAGGCTTGGGGGGTTGGATCTCGGACGTGATGTTGATGGCATTCTCGTACAGCGAAGAAGGCGGCAGGCGCTCGACAACGTTGTCTCCGTCGACATCACCGTACACGAACGATTGATCGGGCATCTTGTCAGGGTTCATGCCCCAAACGCTGAACTTGAAGTAGTTGGGCCACTCATCCATGTAGTGCCACTCCCACATTGACTCGCCGGTGTGCTTAAGGGCCTTGGTGAGACCGCTGTCGTAGCCGAACTGGTTGAACTTGCCGACGGCGAACATGTGAGGGATGCGGCGCGGCGTATCGTAGTCGATATCGGCGTGCACCTTGTACGCGGCGGTTCCGAGAAGTCTGGACCAGTACTGGACGATGACGTGCTCGCCCTCCCACTCTTGCTCCTTGGTTCCGTTCCATTCCTGCTTCTTGACAACGGTCTCCGTCTCGTAGTTTTCCCAGTCGCTCCAGGAGGACTCGAAGTTGGTGGAGTAGCGGAACTTAGAGGCGCCGGCAGCGGTGTGCTTGATCTTGATGGTGCCATCGTCATCCTTGGTCAGAAGGCTGGATGAGTAGTTGGCCGTCGCGGGGAAAATGATGGGGTTGTTCCTGGAGCCGATGCGGAAGAGGAAGTGGTCGACGGCGTTGGTGGAGGAATTTCCAGAGGCGACCGAGGCGTTCGTGACGGTAACTTCGTGGACGCCGTGCTTCACGTTGATGAGGTTGGCTTTCCAAGACCAGACAGAAGGAAGGGCACCAGTCAACTCGACCTGGCGCTCGGAGATCTTCTTGTACTCGATCGAGTTTTCGTCGATGGAAGGAACGCTGTTGTCATCGGTGTGAGACCTGAAAGAAATGGCGTTCTTGAACTTCACGGGGTCCATCTCGACGTTGGAGTGGAACTCGATGGGAACGGTGTTGCTGGTCTCGTTGGACTCGATGCGGAAATCGTGACCAGGGCTAAACTTGGTGAGCATGACGGGAGGGTTCTTGAAGTCGGCCTTGGGAACGTAGGCACGGAACTCGAACGGTGACATGGTGATGTTCTTGGTGCAGCCGTTGAAGCCCGTGTTACCGGCGTAGGCAAGCTTCTTGGTCGAGGCCTCGAGCTTGATCTCGTCGTGAGGGAAGAACAGGTTCTTCACGGTCGTTCCCTCTTCGAATGGGGAGATGAGGGCCTCGTCCTCCTTGGAGCAGTCGAAGGTGTACTTCTTGGTGACGTTGTAGTTGGAGTAGAGAAGCCAAACGGGAACGAGATCGTCACCCATGTTCTGGACACCGAGCTGGTAACGCATGACACTGAAGAGACCGGTGGTGGTGGCCATGCCAGAGTTACCGGGGTAAAAGAGATCCTCGGTGTGGTTCGACAGCTGCTCCAACCACATGCCGTCCTGGAAAACGGGGTACTGCTCTCTCATCCAGTACATGTGCTTGAGGATGAGTCTGAAAGGATGGGCAGGGTTGCGGTGGTCCCACGAGACGGTGTCGTCGTTGCAACCTTCGCGAGCACTGGACAGAGGCATCTGGTAGTAGAGCGTGGCCGGCATGGAGTAACATCCGTGCTGTTGCCAGGCGGGGGCTGAGGACATGGGCTGACGACCGAACATGTAATTCTGAGCGGTGTTGTCAAGCACGTAGTAGGCTTGTTCCTCGCCCCAGGTAAGCATCGGAATGCCGGGCAAGTGAAGCGTCGTGACGAACAGACCCATAAGACTGCGCTCGTGACCCAATTCGATGGCGGGCCAACGGAAGGTATCTTGGTTCATGGCGCCGTACATGTGACGAGGGTCGACTTCACCGGTGTTGGCGTTGATCAAGTCGTTTGCTCTGAGAACCTCGTTCCAAGCCTCGACGAAGTTGCTTGGCACGTCGAATCCAGCGACACCAGTACCGTCCATACCCAAGAAAATGACCAGGAAACGGTAGAAAGAGTAGTGGAAGGCGGCAGAATCGAGAGCCTGGTGGCCCTCGTCACGAATGAAGATGTCCTGGCCCTCGGCCTCGCTCCGGTTGGTGCTGTAGGCCGTGTTGATGTCCTTGAACCACTGCTCCGGGTGGCGTCCGCGACCGATGTAGATAGAACCCATAGTGTTACCACCTGTGATCTCGCCGGGGAGGAAGAAGTTGTCTTTGCCGACCTCGCGCGCGCACTCGCGCATCTGCTTGGAGAATTCTCCCTGGGCATCAACCGTGACTTGCAGCGCCTTGTCGTATCTGAAGCCGTCGATGTCCAAGCTGCCCATGCGTCAGTATCGCGTCACCCTGTCCATACCATGGCACTTACGTTTTGATCATCATGCACGAAAAATGGCCGAGTTTCTGGTTGATGGCGGGAACCCATTCTCTCAGTCTGTCTTGGACGGAGGCGAACTTGGTCAACTGACGTCGGTAATCGGGGTAAACGCCGAAAGCTTCTGTGTCACCAAACTGGTCGAAATCACCGTCGTAACAGCCGCCGAACATGTCGTACACCTCGTTTCCAACTTCATAACCACTTTCATAGTACAGTCGGGGAAAGTTTTCGCACGTCTCGTTGTACTTGGTCGGGAATGTCCAGTCAAGGTAGTGTCGGTCGGTCTTGTAGATCGCCTCCAACTCGGTGGGCTTGAAGGGTGCAGTGCTGTTGAGGTAGTCCTTGTAACCGATCAAGTCACCCAGAGTTGCAACAGTATTGTCGAACACGATGTACTTGACGCTCAGTCAGCTCCAGATGATCCCTTCAAGTCTACAACGTCACTCAACTTACCATTCCGCGCTTGTGAACTTCGGCGATGGCGAGTTGCCATTCTGTGATATTGCCGAAGTGGAAGTCCATCAGGGTGTGGTCCAGCGGCGAGTAGGAGTCGTAGTTCCACGGGTGGTTGATAAGCATCGATCCTCCAAAGTAAATTCCCTTGATGCCCATTCCTTGGAGGTAATCCAACGTATCCACGATACCGGCGACGTCACCACCGAATCGCAGTTGCGTACCCGTGATATCTTGCTCGAGAACAGTTCCATTGGCGTTGTCGTTCATCGGATCGCCGTTTACGAATCGGTCGATCATAAGGGTGTAGAAGGGGAACCGCCAGTTCTTTGGTGACGGGTGGAACTTGTGATTCTTCCACTCTCCATCGTACATCATAGGATCCGTCGCCTCCTTATTTGTGTTGAGGTTGAAGTCGACATATTGCTCGTCGTATCTGAGGCCATTAACATTATGGGTTAAACAACCCAGTAAAAGGAGCGCGCTCCCAAACCACATCTTGGCTGTTGAAATGTGATTATTGTGAGGGATGCCCGAGAGCTCCTCGAAGCGAGCGTGGGGTGAGGCGACGCCGCTTTGCAGTGTGTGAGGATATCAAGCAGAGATGACGCTAGACACACAACAATATGAGATAGAGCAACAAATAATAACGAAAGTAAAAATTCCGACGTAACAATATTTCAGAAACCGGCCAAAAGCGAGTGATGCCAGTTTTCTTGGTTGAACGAAAGACGAAAGTATGGGAAAGGAGACTTGAGCGATTGTAAAGTTCTCCAGTTTCCACACCAACACGCAAAGCAGAGCTAGAGCAAGAAAACCAGAACCAAGATACGTCAGAGGGGGGGAGGGAATCTACACCTTAGATGGAGACAGAAATCTTCGTACTAAGGGGGCGGGAATCGATACATGGGCATACACGGCAAAGAGGCCAGACCCGCAGGCCTACCAGGCATCGCCTCACGAAAAGGGTCATCACAAGCATGTCATGCCCGTCGACAGCGGAGCCTACCATTCTAGGATACGAGCTCGAGGTTTTACTCATGTCTGCATCATAGCGGTGACTTCTTGCTGTCTGTCTCCTCGGGTGGCCTTCTTCGGCTGTCGAACGAGCAGGGTTCCGGAGGCTGGCCGATTGGATACTATGAATATCCTCCTTCTGCTCATGGCCCCGTCGGCGAAGAGTGAACAGGCCAACGGTGCAGATCTTCGGGACTTGGGGCCCAAGTCCAAGTTCGGAGGGCCGTCGTCTGGCCCTCGTCCTGTCCTGCGTCTTCCTGGACACTGGGCCTTTGTCGAGGCTCACTCGATGCGTGTGTGTGTGGTGTGGCCGGGTTGGAAGCGGAACCGGGCAAGGGGAGTGGAGCCGCAGGTTGAACTTGTCGACCTATTCAGACCAGGGTATTTCCCGGGAAGCCAATCGATCCTGGATCCTGCCAGGGATATTTAGTCTTGGTGTTTTTGCTTGTGTCGGGCACGCAAGAGACCAAGACAAAGTCGATCCGCCGTAGAAAAGCTTCAACGACTGGGCGGCAGCTGTTGGAATCCATCAGCTTCCGTTCAGGTCACGAGGAGGGAGAGAGCGAGTCCAGAACGCTGCACAGAAGACGTGAAGACCCTATTTCTGGGTTGTTTTGGTTTGGGGCCGGCGGACAAGGCCATTCGTGCATTGCATTGCATATTTCTCGTGTTGTGCCCGCCAGCCGCCGACACCGATCCAAAGTGCTGTAAGCAACCGACGTTGGTTGGCTCTTTTGGCGAATCTGGTCCCCTTTTTTCCGCTGGGGGTTTGTTGTATTTTACACATGCGACATGGGATGAGTGGGAAGAATTTTCGGGAAGAGTGCGATAAGGAGACAAGCGAGTCAGGAGAGAGGTCCACAACACGGCCGATGGGATGGAGACGGAGCGAACGGACTGGACTGACTGGAGGCGGCGTGATTGTGGGCTATCTTGCACAAGAGGTGATGACTGGACAGCACACCGTTTTGACGTCACGGCATTAGCACGCCCTGAACAAGTTGTGCAGTCATAATTCAAGTCTTGGTGGTGGTGCTGCTGTGGCAAAAGAACGTTGGATTGGCGACGGCACAGCTCGAAGAGTTTCAGTTGAGTCCCAATACAGCTGAGAGTTGCGCTGCAACCTTCCTTTTCCCCTCCAACGGCGCGTATCATTCATATCATTTCAATCTCATCAAAAAGGTTTCCTTATCTCCCAACCCAGTGCTGCAACGAAACATCCAATCCTTCGGGACAGTCAGCTTTCAAGGAACACCCCACGCTTTTGCATTCAAAGACAGCTTGAGACAGGGCGGCTAAGCTTTAGTGCATAGAAGCCAGCGCACAGAAGCTGCGGCTAGCGCAGAGAAAGAAAAATAACGGCGGCGGCGGCGGCGGGCGGCGGTGTTCCCTCGTCTGATGTTCGTATTCCGTCCGAACAGCTGGCGGGTTTGCGGAAGTGCTGTCCTTGCAAGCTGAAACTTAAATGTCGAAGGAGGTTGGGCTGGGTTCGGTCGTTTGACAACGAGACTGTTTGATCCTTGTGTTCAATATCGAGATGGATGTCGGTCCAGGAAGTGTGATGGGAGTGTTAGCCAGGCCCTTCCTGCTTGTGATACATTCCCCCACAACAATAGAAGCGTCTCCAAGTCACCCCCTATCATGGACTTTTGCATGACACAGTTACGAGAGAAATACGGTGCTGTGGATCGATTTGTGCAGACGGGACAGACACAGCCACTGACTTATGTTCCTGCAGTGCCAACATGCCAAACACACAGGCAAACAGGCCAGCAGCGTCCTATCAATTCCATGTGCATTTCTCGGTTACAAGCCACCCCGAGTCCCGAAAAGAAAAACCACAACTTTCGAGTTTTTCTTCTCCCACCGTTCGTATTCTGCTCTGTGCTTCAGCCTTCAGCCTTCAGCCCTTCACGGTTCACCGATGGAATCGAACCAACTTTCTGATCGGTCTAGAAGGATATCGGCATATCGGCATGTCCGTCCTCCCACAAAATCATCCCCGTGAACCCCAGAAAAGTGTCCTCCATTGGACAGGAACCTCGGTGAGCGATGGCCTTCCGGCACACCCGAAAGCGGAAAGGCATGAGTGCACAAAGTGACCAAAATGAGCGTTTGTCAAGCCATTCTGGCGGCGCAGGACAACCACTACCACACTGCCGAACATGAGAGGCTGAGACTTGGGAATCCCGCCGGTTGGCGTTTGTCCGCGCAGCCCGCGCTGCCGTGTTGTACAACCCTCTTAGTTTCTTGGTAACGAGCCAAATCTCGTCATTTTCTGCCCGACACCAGAGCGATAGTATTGCGGTAACTGGTAGCACCAACCCAGATCCAAGTTCACCCCTGTGGTGATCGTTGCTATAATTATCCCAGCTATTGGGTGACTCTCAGTAACAAGGAACCATCGTCGACCATTTGGATCGCCGCCTATTGGTGCACTCCCGAGATCTTGTGCCAACTTTTTTTCCCTCGTTCCTCGGACGGCTCTCTCGGGAGAGCGTCGTAGTCTGTGGCTAAGTGACTGTGCCCTTTCCATCTCCACGAAAACCCCCATATTCAATCTCGGTGTGGCGCCTCCATGTCATGACGGAGCAGACAGGCCGGAGAAAAAAAGCTGGGATTGAAGGGCCGGGACTCCAAACAACCTCCCCATGCCGCATTGTGGGCGCGTTGACATGGTGCCACCTGCGGAACCTGGGAACTGGATCACGGTTTCTCGCCCATGTCCCGTTCGAAACCACAGGTTTTTCCAAGATGGATCAATCTGATACCGCCAACCCGTGCGACTGCGTACGCGAAGTAGCAGAGCAAATTGATGTGGTAGATAAAATGGCTTGGGGTGCCCAGAGTATCCTCCCCCTATTTCTCCTTTTCCCGTTGTCTCTTTCGCAGTTGTGCACAAAAAAAAGGAACCGAGGCACAAATTGTTGGCAGCCAAGGTCTGCCCAGTCTCCACGCCGAGCACAGATGATATGGGGTTCATCTGGTGGTCGGACATTTTGCAGCCGTTTATTGTCAATATTGTTAACGAGTGTTGCCAATATTGACATGCAGTTTACTCTACACTAAATTGCGTATATTCCTTCTGGAATTTTCCTCGTTCCCCTAGCCTCTCGTGGCCAACTCTACCCAGCTGTTTGGAACGACCTTACTCAATCCAACCATAGCTCCCCGAATCCGAAAGTCGCAAGAGAGAGAAGCCTCCCAACGATTGCGAATGTGATGCCAAGCTTGGCCTTGCCGGGCGAAGCGCTCGTCGCCTGCTTATCTGTGCTTAACGAAGAACATATACATATTGACTAACCCAAAACCTCTACCTTTCTCGGTCTTATCCAACCCTCCTTCCACATTAAACAGCCTTTCCCCCCTCTCAATTGCAGTCTCGACCGCTCGAGAAAAAGCCACTTGGTCATTTCGAGAATGTTGCCTGGAGATACCACAAAAAACCCAACCTCCTCCCTGGCTGAATCAATCGCAACGAATCCGATGCCCAGACGGAGAACTCCACTTATCACGGACACCTGGGACAAAGGGGGAACATGGAGCTCAACTTGAGGTGAACGTGGGTCTTACTCAGCAACAAAATGGGAAAAAAAGAAGAATCGGCGAGTTATTGAGCACCCCCCTGGGCGCGGAACAATCCTTTTGGAACGAAGCGAGGGTGGGGGGTTCGTCCCTTTTCCTTCTTCTCCCCAAAAGCACTTCCGCAGCGGGCGGCGAGGACGGGTGCGCGGGCTGGTTTTGGGTGTTTTGGGTACCTCTACCTTTCGACTTTTCCCCAATTCGCAGCTAGCCCCTATCACCCGTTTTGCCCGTTTTGTGTCAAAAAGCGACCCGAACGGCGGACCGCGCAAGCATTTGCGGCTTAGCGGGCGTCGTCCGCCGGTGGTGGATTTGTTTGCCGCATACAAAACGTCCAATGAGAGTCGTCTGTCGATAGTGCTTCGTTGATTGCCTTCACGTCAACGGCCACCTGCACTGTGACGACCGACGGTGAGGACGGGAGTCTCAGGTGGAAGGGAAGACGATCTTGGCGCGTGGGTGTTGCGATCAAGTCGTCGCGCGATTGGCGGCGATCTGTTTCATTGTCGTTATCTTTCCATCTCTCGATGCAGCTGTTGAGGCCGCACGCGATGAGGGACGTCGTCTTTTGCTGACAGCCACAGGAGAAATCCTTCAATTCCTTCCCGCGCGGCTCAAATGATGAGGCTGTTGTCGGAATGAAAGCTACTGCGCCACGGCCCTGCAGACGACTCATTTAGAGGCACCCAATGGGACTTTTGAGTCTTTTCTCGGCGGCGTGAGTCGTAAGCATTAGCGAGCGATGCTGAGGACGCGATTACACGTCAGGAATCCACGCGATTGCGCAAGCAATTTCGTAGGCACTTGTTTCTTTCGAGCAAGTCAGTCGTCAACTGAAAGAGAAGGATTAGACCCCTGTCCTGCAGGTCCGGGAGATCATCGAAACAAAACTTAACCTCCTGCATGTTCCCAACACGCGCGATCATACAGTAAACAGCGTAGTTAGTTAGAGAATAGGGACATCGCATTACGCCGGCAATCAATTTCAACATGACCGGCCATTCTTAGTAAAGTTCAGAAGCTCTTTGATTGCAAATAGTTAAGGTACACACCCGTGCAGTCTCGAGCCAAATGACTGGCAGTCACTGTCGACAACTCGTGTTACGGTCAATTTTCTCGTGAACGACTTTGATCAACTGCGCCTCAAATATGATCTAGAACTGGTGCTCAGCTCTAGATGAGCTTCATGACGCTTTACTGCTGCGTGTTCCATAGCTCTTCAACGCAATACTAGCACTTCAGCCTATGCTATTTCAATGAAACACATAGATATAAACAACAGTCGAGAGCTTCAAGTATAAGGTGTACAATAGCAAGTTTAAATGTGTCTCTAGTTGGCTTGCGTGTTTCAGTATGATAAAAGCTCAGCAGTACAGAACAACTGTTGGGTTGATTCATGCAAAGCATGAGTTGTCACGTTGAGTTCATTCAGATTCAGACTCAGGTATATCAACGAAACTTAGTAACTTTTGAAAACTTTTAACTACTCGGGTACGTAACAGCCTCTTTCGCACTGAGAAAGATGACGTCCGCTTCACTGCAGGCGGGGAAGCGAAAGGTCTTCGGAGCAGAGTTGGGTTGGTTCAAGAGCGTCATGTAAATCATGCCAGCACCGCATCTAGATTGCATTCAAGTCATTCGGAGTGGCGGTGAATTGCAACAGGCATATACATTGACAATATCTTTCGAATAATGACAGTTTCGGTCAAATCTACTTCCACGTTTGATGTAAACTGGGCACGAGACACCGGAAACCTGCAAAATGTTGTGGATTGAAGGTTGAAGAAGCTCAGCACGTCGTTTGAAGAGTCAAATTCTAACTACGATAATTATGCCCCTCAACATAGTTGTTGGACAAGTCTAGCATCAATATTGATTTACTAGATTCCACGCATTTCGTCCAACACGATGGGGGTGCATGATGACACAACGAGTGACGCGAAAGGTAACATGATGACTCCCATTTCAGCTTGCGTCATGTTCTCTTTGATAGTTTCTCACATTTGCATCTGCAACCTGTCTTAGAACATTGAATCCAATAGTACACCTGTGAAGACTGTGATCTACGACTGTGGATGTTCTCATATCAACACGCTTGTTTGAGTGTTTGAATTGCGTGTGATTGGGAGGATGTGTCTATATATAAGTATTCACTAATATTTAATTAAAGGTGCCAAATTACTTATGCCGTGCAACTTTCTCACGTAGTCACCCTTTCTTTTAGTTTTTGATTTCCGATGTGTTGTGTTCCAACTCACCATAGCGCTGGCATTCAACTCCTCCCACAATTCAACGTGATTTAGACAGCAATCATAATAAGGTATATACTCACTTCTCTAAAGAGCCCTAATGAAGTATATCTGCCTCTTATTTCTTATCGTGCTGAGGGCATTCCAACTGTTATCCTAAGTGTGTGTGGATGATCACCGTTGCTCTACAGGTCGTACAGGAGTCCAAACAGTTTACCCGATTCAATTCTCACAACCAATTACGAGTTCAGATCTCATGCCTCAAGGGCCGTGACACCTAAGCTCATTTATGTTGCTCCAACCTTCCATCATCAAGGTGCTTCGTGATCTGGTCTTTCTCGGAAAACCGAAACCCATCATGGCAGATCTGAGGTTGAGATGAGTGAGCTTAATCGAATTCGTGGCTGCCAGCTCGGAGCTCAGAATCTGAACGAGCTACGACAAGTTCCTTCCCGATCTAAACCTAGACAATGTGAGTTATCAGATAGTATCGAAACAGGCAGAGGATATAGCAGTAGAACCAGAATAACGGCAAAACATTAGAGCTTTACACCCTCCACAACACAGCAGTAGCAGAGATTAAGAGCATATTCCATACTTCTGAGCTCCAGAGACAATAAATGGATCATAGCTTCAAACTTTGACCTGAAATTTGTTTCTCTTTTGCAGATTCTAACATATTCGTAAACATATTAGAATTTATCACGAGCTTTTATAAACAAGATCCAGCAAGTTCCACAACGGCTTTTAGAATTCAACAAATAAACCGAGATAAGAGTTGTAAAACCTCCAGCATGAACTCGACCAAACCAGAACTTCAAAGGGTAGACTTTCTGACGTCCTTGAGCTCCTAGAGTTCACACCTGAGCGGCTTCAGTCATCTATCTGTGTCATGTTCACCGACGACAACTCAACTCTGGCCAAAGGTCTCTGCCCGCGACGTCTGGAATCAAATCTTATCCTTTCTCAAAAAAGAAGGCCTAAAACACACCGCAATTGCTGTAAGCCGAGATGTAATCGATCAAACAACGCGCACAGCGTGATATCTGCTGACCATATCCTCCACCCAACAGCAAGATCATGATTCCCTTCGACTGAATCAACAATCAAGAGTCATGTGATAAGTCTGCAACTCAGCAAACCTCAAATTAAAGCTATGCTCAAAGCCTGGATCCATCACAACCCTCCAAGATTTTCCACAGCGGGCCCGCCTACGCTACTAGAGCCCCGAACCTCCCCTCTCGGCATCACCGGTCCAACCCGGAAAAACAACTGGCCGGTTGGCCCAATGGCAAGGCGTCTGACTACGACTCGATCGTGCAATCAGGAGATTCTGGGTTCGACCCCCAGGCTGGTCAATACTTTTTGCCATTTCGTAGCTGTTGACGCTTCCCATGGTGTTGACGATCTTCTCTTTTTGCTTTTGCGGTGTGGTGGTGGCACCCCCAATCGGGCCGGCACATAAAGCCAGCCGGCGCAAACCTTAAAACGCTCAAGTATGTATTCTCATTCCTCGGTTTAAAATCGGACGAAGGGAGACATGAGATGATGACATGCTTGCGATCGTAGTGTCTCAGCACTGCCGGTGGCTAAACGTCTAGCTCAAGACAAAAGGACCTCTAGACACAAAAGACCTCGGGGCAGATCGTACTAAAAGCGGCTCTGGGACGCCGCATCAAGGATTAGCCACGAGTCGGGAAGGGGTAGTTGCAGAGAAATTATCAACCGGTGCGGTTGACACATGGCATTCTCATACGCTTCCACACTACCTACACCTCTTCTCATTGAGAAGACCCCTTTCGACAAAGACCCCTCTAGACGCGGCATTTGAATGCCGTTAAGAGCTACTAGAAAGTTAAGTAATTCTGGCTCGGATTGAACGAGCCTTACAAACAACAAAACAAGCCGCCATAGTCCTCATGAGCTCGTAACTTCTGTGGTAAAAGCATGAAAAAACTCCGCCTTCGCCCTGCTGCGATCCAGAAACCATAGGATGCCAAGCCGTAGCTGCCACCGTCGCCCACCATCCACCATCCGCCGAGATCCCCTTAACCGATGCAGTGCCCGTTGTGATATGATGTTGCCAGCCCGCCAGCTGGACCCCCTATGCAATGCCCCAGATACACCCGTGCGCAAAGCAGACAGAATGGGAGAGAAAGCGTCCAATCCCGGGAAAGAAAAGTTCATAACAAGCCCGATTACACCTAGCCCTGCATCGCTGTTGCGGATTCGCGGTTCCGCGAAACACTCTTGTTTCCTCGTATATTCCTCAGTTACGAGTCGCTGATTCCTCGGTCACCTCATTGTCGTCTCGGTGCATTGAGCGGCTTTCGCCCGTATACGGTCCGATGATTCAGATAGCTGTGAAACTGTTTGTTCGCCACGTGAGGCCTCACGTTCATGAGGAAGATTTCGATTTGGACTTCCGACCAATTCAGGGCCCTGAAAGGTCGTGTCGCAAGACCCTTTAGCCCGTCTTCGATGGTCCTTCGCATCAAGCCGCCTGCCTCGCGCAGCTCAGGTTTTGCCGCCCAGTCGCCGATTGGGCACTTACGCCTGTCTTCGGTGACACATTCGAAGCCGGAAGCACGCATTTCATCGGCCGCATAACGGATACCGTGCATTTCGGATCCCAAGGCTCTCATGCCTTCTGCCAAATATTGCGTGAAGACGCGGAATCCATAGTTGTCTCCTTCGGGAGTCGTGCCATCGTCGCAAAGAGGGAAGAATTCCAGCTCTTGGATCTCGAACCAACCGCCAGGCTTCAGATGCCTACCATATATCAGTGCCGTTCTTGCTCAGTTCGTGCTGGTATAGCCTACCTGTATACCCGATCCATCAGTTCTCGGCGGTCTCGAACAGAGTGAAGAGTATGACGAAGGTGAATGAAGTCGTAGAACTCCTCCTCTAGAGCCCAGCCGTTTTCATGTTCGAAGTCGTCAACCATGAAATGTACGTTCTCCGGGACCTCGGTAGGTTGAATAGGTGAAAGATCAACGCCGAGGAAAGTGGACTCAGGAAACCATTCAGCAACTACATGATTTACGTCAGTATGTCCCAATTGACCATTATAGCTGCTGAAGGATTGGCGATAGAGAGTACATCCCCTGAGCTATCGCATTCTTGTAGGGGTAGATCTCAGAAATTTGCTTACCTTCAAGAACCCAATGACCAGGACCAGTGCCTAAAAGCCCAGGCGGTTAGCGAATATTCTTCACGGTGAAAACGAGTCAGGAGCTCTGTTGACCGGCCGGCTGTGGCTTGAAGCTCCATCTTCCCCCTGAATGCAACAGCGGATGCCATGGAATAGCTCGCAATTGCCCCAGTGCCGAAGATTTCCGCAAAAGCTGCCGGCGCGACCGCTCCTGTTGCCCCGTCTTGTTGCGATATGAAGCCAACACATACCCAAATCAAGCACTTCACCACCTCTTGCCAGCACATCGTCAACAGGCGACAGATACCATCTGTCGCAAAGAAGGTTGCTGATAAGGTGTTTCATAAAGTCGCGGTCCTGTTCGACCAGATCGTTTGGGAATGCGTATTTGCCCGCGCGGTACGCATGATAACGCAGTCTATGTTCGTACATGTGCTCAAGCACACTTTCTGACAGACTTTCGGTTTCGCGGCCCTCATCGTTATGAGAGCCGACTGTAATGGCGGTATCGGTGGAACTGGGCGGTGACATTGCGGCGGGAGCATAGTCTTCAGGAGAAGGAGGGCCGTCGAATTTTAGTCGCTTTCCGGGGTTTTCTTGATTTGAAGTGTTGCTGAAGACTGATGCGGGATGTGAGGTGAGATGTCCGTGTGGTACTTGATGGAATGAGTTCGGAGGCGAGTTCATCGTGAACTAGTGACAAGTGGGGTGATTCGTAACTGGTGAACACACGGGAGTGTAACAGCAGTTGAAGTCTCGGGCACGGAATTTGGTCGTTGAAATCGGCGACGTCGAAACTTGGGGAGGAAGATGCCGCGCAACGAGCGAAGGCGATGCGAAGTCTTGGCTTGCCAAACGTTATAGGCGTCCAGGGGGGGTAGCAGCAAGAAAAAAAAAACTTCAAATCAGGGACCCCTCCACCAAGACCAAAATGCCGGCGATGACGTCCCTGATTGGCACTGGTGCTTCTGTTCCCAACCGTCAGAATATAAATGTCCCGAAGCGGCACGGGAAGCGGGCGAGCCGCTTGTGGGTAAGAGACAAGCTGAATAAGGAAAATGTTGGACGAAAACGTCGATCCGGAGGGGTGGGAAGGGAGGCGAGAACGAATGACCGAGGGAGAGAGGTCGCCGAAGTGTCTGCAGTGTCTTGGAGATTTGGAGAAGACAGGAAAGATAATGAAGCAAAAATAAACTGGAGCGGGCGACAAGGAGTGACCCGAGACAACGGCGAGGGTTTAGTTGGTGGAGGTCTGGGTAGTGCAGTATGCTTTCTCCTTTGGTCTGATGGAGGTCGCGACCGCGAGCGGCCAAGAGAAGCCTCGAAGAAGCGAATCAAAGTTCGATTCGACTTCTTTGGCGGTCCTCTCGCACGCTTTTTCGATGGGGGCTAGCCCGTGTTATGAAAGAAAGAGGTTGTGTTTGATCATGGTGTCTGGCCA